TTTAAAGATAATTTGATGGATGGATAAATATTACTTTTGATTCTGTTAGTTATTCAAAATGGAGAAAAGAAGTAAATAATAATAATGTTTGAACTCGGAGGAAACTGGAATGACCTCAGTTTTACTTTTAGGCCTCCTAGCTTTCATCCCGTTATATCTGAAGTCATAATCTTGTCATTTATTGAAATAAAAGAATTTCCACCGCAATTTGAATTGCTTTTTTGGATAGAGCCAATTTAATTTTTTTTAGACAAGGGAATTTTTTTCAAAATTCTTTTCTTTTTTTCCAAGGATCAAAAAATTTTTTTATAAGGGTATTTCATTTTTAGTAATTCTTTTTTTTTAAGATTAAAAGTATAAATATTATTAGTTTTAAATTTTTGAGTTTGTACCGTACCATGACAATGTTGTAATTTTATGGTGGGCTCATCTCCCATTTTGTGGTCTCATGGTACATAACAGAAAAAGCCTTAATTTTATTAGTCTGAACGTTATTAGGTGGTTGGCAGAAAAAGTTGAATTTGCTGTGACTGATTATATTTGAACTATACCTCTGTCAGCTTGTGTTTTCTAGTTTTCAAACTTTTAATCGATATATCAAGGAAAGCTTTTCTTTTTTCTTTTTTTTTCCTGATTTTGGAGACAAGATTGGATGTGAAGAAAGAAGTGGGAATGAAAATATTGGAGATGGCTAAATTTTTTTTTAATGCTCAGGATAAGACAATTGACGTAAACCCTTAACCACGTAGCCAAATCCAATCACCACCATCTTATCATGTCTAATTTTTCTGTTAGTTTATTGTAATGTGTGAACAAAAAAAAAAATAGATACGCTCAACAACGTCAAATCATAATTTTGTGTTTCTATTTTTCTTCTTTCTACTGTGTAAAATGGATGATAGTAACACACCAACTCGGCACTTTGGATCACCAATGTAATCTTTCATCTCAGTTATTTTTTTTCCAGTTGTGAAATTATTGCAACTAAGATTGGGTTAGGAATAAGGGACAAGAAGTGGCTCTTTTGACCAATTAGAATTAAATTATGCATTATACATAGTCAAACAACATGAAGAAAATGTACATTTGCATTCACGGAATGTAGTCAGCCACCATTCTCCTACATCTTGCGGGAAATTATGTATGCTATATATTATACTCAGCCTTTAATTGCCAATAATATTGAAGCTTTTTTTTTTTTTTTTCAAGGAAACCAGCTGCCGCTACCTGAGAGTGTGGGTAAACCCCACCCCATGCAATGGTTAGCCAACCACACAGAGGGGTAAAATGTATTGGGTAAATCCTGTCTCGTACAATAACCCGCCAACCACATGGAGGAATAAGACGCACTAGACAAGCATTGTGCGACGGGTGGATGTCCCAAGAGAGGTTCGAATTCAAGTTGGCAGGAAGGCATAACACCAATTCTACCATCTACCAACAATATTGAAGATGGCATATGTTTCACTCTATAATTATCTGTTCAATTTTTTCTTTTGAAGTTTGCCCTTTTTTCTAGATTATATTCACCTTTCATCATCGAATTGAATTTACAACGTACCGATTTTCTCAAATCGCTTCATACAAGATGCATGATGTTTGTTCTGATTTACCATATCATCTTAGCATTTGGCATGGGATCTTACTGTTTACCTTATTGTAATGATAAATGGTTAAAATGGAACCAAATGGGAGCACAGTTAGCGGAAGCGCGAGCTTGGAATCTGTCCTCTTGCAGTTTTACCTGTGCAAGAATAATTAATTTATGGGAAAATTTTGCTACATATCTGCAAGGGCTAAATAAATATTGACTATAGTTAGTGAGAATGTATCCTTGAAAAGAAGATTTTTATATAGGGATATTGTTATGAAAAAGAGAAATTTGAGACATATATATAGTTAGATTTGTTTTTCCTGAATTTAACGGGTCATAGGCTATAAAAGTTGTAGTAGTTCAAAATTTTTTTTTTTTCAAATCCTAGTAGGAAGCCGCCACTTGAGTTAATGAGTTGAAATTCACTATTATAGAGTCATAATTTGGACTCAAATGTGATAAGGTGCATTACTTGAGCTACTTGAACATTGTATTCTGGAAGAGCAATTTTGAAAGCAAAAAACGAAACAGAGGCACAAAATTTTCTTAGTGATCATAACACTTACTATTTCCTAGAAACAGCATAAAAAAGGAGACAGAAAGACATTATCCACATTATAAAGTCCTATCAATGTTTGTCATTTTTATATAGTAACTTGCAATAGAAGAATTGTCAAAATCGTGTGAGAAAGTTAAGAACGAAATACGAAGAAAATTCTTACTCATAACCAAGAAACTGCGGCCAAAAAAAAAAAGAAAAAAAATGGAGTGGAGCCATTAAAGTCAGTCAAAAAGAAAAAGAAAGAAGTAGCTAATGACAAAAAACTAAAGCATGAGAAATGATGGAAATTCAATAGAAAGAAGAGCGACAGCAACGGGATCTTGAAAGGCGAAGCTACCTTGTCCGCTACACTACAACATCATGGAAATTATTAAGGAGACTATGCGCAGTTGGTGGGGCGTATGCGTTAACTCTTCAGTCTTCAGTACCTTTCGACTGTGGTTCTTCCATCAAATAAAGTGGATGGCTACCAGCGTACAACTGGGTTTGCGTTTTTCCTCAAAATGTCAATCCAGTCATGGTAGGTGGGGTGGGGTGGGTTGGTTTGTGCAACGATCAATGTTGGTGGTTCTTAGGCCTTGCGGATGGCGGTGAGAGTGGGACCATGGTTCAAAGTTATGGTCGCGGTTGTGGTCGCGATCCGGACTGTTTCACATCGATCTTTGCATATTAATCGCGGTTTCATCGAGACGTAAATTTTTAAAATATTTAATATTTTAAAAAGTATAAAAAAATGATAAAAAATAATTAAAAATTAGAAAAAATAATAAAAATTTAAACTGACTCGAGATGACTTGAGATGACTCGGGGCGACTTGGCCGTTTCTATTTGTTTTGGAGACGTCTCGGCTGAACTTTCGGTAATTCATTATCTCGAAATCATATTGTTCCGATATCAAATCGGGAAATCCTGTTCCAGTGACGATTCGGCCGAATCGTCTCGGTCTCGACCGAGCTTTGAACCATGAGTGGAACACGAGCATTGCTACGAACTTTTGAGTGTTGTGGCAAAAGATTGACAAGGGCATTGTGGCCAGGTTTACAGTTTACAAATAGGTTGCCATTTGGGCTCTAATTAAGCATGTTGAGATGGAATCTTTATCCAAATTGGGTATTCACCCCGTCCTTCAGTAAGAATTTGGGGCAGGAATCGTTTCTGAACATTTTACGACCTTGATTGCTTAAGAAAATTTTCACGGCTCCAATTATAAGTTGTACATCGATTTCAACGACGGGCGCGAGACTCAAAAAAAAAAAAAGAGATAAATTTACATTTTGTTCAAATTGATTTACATTCTGAACAAATGCATGCATATTTTGTTCAAATGCATAAAACCGTTCCGGATCCCCGATCCCTTAAAGGAAGACATTGATCGGTTCTGCTGCAATATATTTTAACTAGTATCGGCTTGGGGTGGAAAAAAAATGAGCAAGTTTTCCACCTGGTAGTAATTAATCTAAGAAATAATCAATTAAACCACTTTTAAAAGAAGATATTTATTGTGAAAGAAAAACAAACGTTAAAAACTCACTATTCTTCAGATACGTAAATAGTAAATGACTGTCAATCAGCCAATCTCAGATACGTAATGGTAAATCTATATTTTCTACTTGTTTGAAAGTTTATTTGTTTGCCAACATAAAAGCATATTTGGGCCTTCACAGAAATCAGAATCTCACTCTTTGCTGGTAATAATCTCTTTCAACTTTTCAACTCGATGTGCTGTATATATGCTCTATTCAACTTTTCATGGCTAAATTGCGTTATAGCATAATTATTGTACGAATCCCCAAAAATTTCAATGGACAAGAAGCTACAATTTTTTTTTTTTGGGTGATATTAACAATCCCCTGCACTCTCAATTCAATGATGTTATAAGTAATTCAGCGAAATTTTGACTATCGGCTCATACTAATCAATTACATTGTTTAATCTGTGCTCAAGCCTACAGATTTGGGCTATTTTATTTCATTTTAGGAAAAATCATTTAAAGCATCTTCCACATTTTGTTAAATGAAAATTTTCGTCTTTCACTTTTCAAATGTTAATTTTACGCTCTTTACATATTTAAATTATCAAAATTTTTGTCCTCAACTAAGTTCCCTACCATTTTTTAATTTGAAATTATTACGTGATCCACATGTAATCATTTTTTCATGTACAAAAAGATCAAATCCCACTTTTTTAAAGGCAAAAATGAATATGAATTAAATCAGATCCCACTTTTTAGAAGAAAAATAATTATGATTCAAGTCAGATACTACTTTGTTAGAGGAAAAAATGATTGTGAATTGGATCATTTATTTAATTATAAATGAGATTTAATTTTTTTTCCTTTAAAAAATTAACCATGTATAAGTTATGTAAGGGATTTAGGATAAAAAGTGCTCTATCGATTTGATTGTGTAAGGTTATAAAGTTTCTATTTTAAAAGTAAAGCACGAAAAAATTCATTTTGGCAAAAATGTAAACAACATTTTGAACCATTTTTTCTCCATTTTACTGGGCCATGTCCCTACCTTCAAATTAAATGAAAATCGCCCTTGGACAATTTTGTGTGATTCTGTGTAGAATTGTTCAGCACTTGCCATGTAGGCCGCAACAAAACAGTCTGTACGTAGCACGGATGAGCATGTAACACGTATAATACAAAGGTTGTGGACGTGTAACACATCTAACATCGCTCCTTCATGCATGCACAACACAAACTAGCAACATGAAACGTGGCACGAAGGGATCAAAATTCGATGCAGATAAACGTTGTTGTTCATCCTAGAATCTCATTGATGGATTTTAAGGAAAACCCCATCAATTAGGTACCGGTGCCAAGGAATACAAAAATTATTGAACATAGGTAGAGAGATTTAAGGTTGTTCCAAAAGAAGGTGCAATTAAGGATGTCAGGGGCACAAGGAGCACAACCAAAGGAGTCCTATACGGCTACAACGTATGAATCAAAAGATGGAGGAGAGAACAAGCCCAGAACCGACCTTTATTCCAAGGAGGATGAGGGCTATGTTGAGGTTGATAAAATTCAGGAGAAAGTAGAGGATCCTGTGGGCAAGGGAGGTCCCGTTTTTGGTGCTGGCAAGGATGATGACAAGGAGGACTTGGGTGTTACTGGAACTGGTTAATTAATTAGTATGCATGCTCTTTTTTGTTCCTTCTTTTTATGGGAGAGCTGGGGGTTTCTGTTAAATTCTGATAGTTTCTATGGGTGTAAATCTTTAATCTAGACTCTTTCATTTTTTTCATGGTTTTTGATCATCGTATTCAGTCGTAATTTTGTATAAAAAGTTGATTCTCTGCACTCAGAAAAGTTTATTTTGGTAACAGAGAGTTCTGATGTAACTCGTGTATTGGAAGTTATCATCAGTTCCACTTCCTTCTAATGAAGTTTGCAATCACCTCTGCTTTATTTGTCTGCGAATTGAATTCTCAGTAAAGTTGGACATGATTTTTTTTTCCTCTCTGATAGCTCCTGGGCTTGATTGTGTTGTCTCGGAAACAGCACTTAATTTCTTGGATGGTCAGTTCCTGGCAGCAACCCAAGTTGACAGAAACTGGGTAGGATCCTACCTGAATATGCTTTCCATGTCATGGATGATGTGTTGAATGGATTATAGATTTGTCTAATCTTGTGGATTAATTAGTCTTCTCTCATCTCATTAGCCTATAGGGCCTACATCATTGATACCAAATCAACATCATTAAGCACAAATTACAGTCACTAATTTGATGTTTTAGGAAGGAAAAGTATGTTGTTGCCTCTCCTGGCCATGTCCATTTCAGCTGAATAACAAGTTTCATTGGAATTCTTTTCTTGCCAAGCGTTAATTCTCTGAATCTGCAGCGTGCAAAAAGATACTCTACTATTGTGGTAGCTCACCAAACAGTAGAAAGAGACTGTTTTCTTCTCCAAATAGAACACTTTAGCTCCCTGCTGAATAGACAAAAGTGGTTGTCTAACTCTAACGTGATGGTACTTTCAAATGAAATCCAAATCTGTTGTTTTTTAGTGGTTTTGATTCTTCGAACATATGGAAAAATGAAGAATGACACCATGAGAAAGAAAGAAAAGTGAGTCTTTGCAGATTCCAGACTGCAGCCTTGAAAAATTATAAACTATGGAAGGTCAGAAAGTGGTCTAAGAAAGTTGCTGGGTACCAACTTGACAGAATTCATTAATTCAAATCGAACTTGAACAGAACGTCAAAGTCATAGATTTTACCGAACAGGAGGCAATTTGCTTGTTTAGCTCTATAAATACAGCAGAACTCATCATCCACTTCCTCTGCAACCAACTTCTTGTTTCATTTGCATCCCTCTACCCTGCATTTGCAACTTACTCCTAAAATGGCACCCCTGAGATGGCTCTTGATCTCTGTTGCATGTTTCCTTTTCATGCAGAGTCTTGGAAAGTCTGAGACCTGTCCTGATTGTTTTATCCATTCTCGGGCAGGTTATTACCCAAATTCTGACCAAAAAGGAACAGAAGGTCAGGATCAAGCTACATATACAAATTTATAAACATGAGCATGAAAGCGTGTTGTCTTGCTTGCTTTGCAATTTTAGATGACATGAATTCATGCTTAATATCGTGCTTAACATGATTGCAGTTGGGGAATGTGGCTTTGGTAAGTTTGGAGCAACACTCAACGGCGGTGACGTTTCGGCTGCATCAGAACTATATCGAGGGGGTGTAGGATGTGGTGCTTGCTATCAGGTATTATACATGTCATTAGAATGTTAAACAATTTCATATGCTTGTATCTATATTTATGTCTCTAATGACTCTATCATGCTGCTCTTAATCAGGTAAGGTGCACTTACAGTTATTATTGCCTGGATAAAGGAGTAACTGTAGTCATAACTGACCATGGAATCAGTGATCGAACTGACTTCATTCTCAGCCAGCGAGCCTTTAGTCAGATGGCACAGAGCACAGATGCAGCAGCCTCTCTACTGGCACTTGGAATTGTTGACATTGAATATAGAAGGTTAGAGTCACATATGAACAAAAAAACTACAAGATATGCTTCATGGTCATTAAGAAAGCCTCTAGATTTAACTAATAACATATGATTTAGAAGTTAGAAGCTCACAAATTGAACTTTCATATGACTGAGAGGAGAACATCTGCAGGAACTATATGCTCTTTTCCTTGGGTTTATCATCGATTTATTCTATAAAAGTAATTAAGCAAGTCCATGAAAACACAAAACTTCATTATATCCTCCATAGAAAACAATGTAAAACCTCTGTGAACTAAATGAATCTCTGTCTCTCTTTGAACAGGGTCTCATGTAGCTACCCTAACAAAAATATTACATTCAAGATCGATGAGAGCAGCAATAACCCTTATTATTTAGCTTTTGAAATATTGTACCAGCAAGGAAAGATGGACATTACAGCTGTGCAGCTCTGTGAGGTACCATACAATGCTTTTTCCCCTTTGATACTGGAACCTACTCATTTTCCATCGACCAAGTTTATGAAAGATATTGTCAAACTATCTGTAAAACCAGAATAGTTTTGTTTCACCGACTTTGAGTGTCGCAATATTAATTAATCAGTCTGGGTAAAAGCACGCTACCTAGACTCCTTGACTATAGTTCAGAAGCATGCTTAACTTATAAACGCACATTTTTCTTTGTGCAGACACAAAACTTTGTTTGTAAACTCTTGGATAGGACTCATGGAGCAGTATGGACGACCACCTCGCCGCCAAGTGGGCCTTTATCGATAAGGATGCTATTTAGTGCCAATGATGAAGATCAGACATGGGTAGTTCCAGTCAACAACATACCAGGAAATTGGAAACCTGGAGACACATATGACTCAGGAGTACAAGTAAATGCTTAGCCAAAGAAACTGAATGTTGTCATTCTACGGTCAATAAGTCCTCGGTGTTCTTGTGCTTTATTTTTTATTCGGTTCCTATCCAATTTTAGTCAGGAGATGGTGCAAGAAGTTGGAGTTCTACATGTAGTCATTCCATTACTGCTCACTAGTCAAAGTAACCATGAGAAGAATTATAGGTTTGTAGTAATTCTCTACCATAGACTATGGACTAATTGTATCCTCCTTCTATGTTAAAAGAATTGATTGCATATGAATAAATTGGATGCAAGACATAATTATTTTTCTTTCAACATTTACTCATAAAGCTTTCAAAGCTTCATATCTCTGATAGACAAGACGTTGATTGTATCTGTCAATATACAGCATTTCATGTTACTTCTGAACAAACTGAACAACTTTTGTGAATTTACAGAAGTGATACATATTTATGAACTATATCTCACCTGGGCAGCAATGGCCTTGAATACTTGAATGCCAATGCTAATTCATAAACTGAGAGATCAAAAGTATTCCACGATGAAGTTGGGCAATCATAACTTAGGAAATCACCCTATTGTCTATGCAAGCGATGAACCACGAAAAGTCATACCATCACCTTCAATTCAGAAGCCGGGCTAGGATATCTGGTAGATAATTGGTATTCAGGTCAACTTTTTACCTCTTCAGTGTTGCCTAGCATGCTTACGTCTCAAATAATCGCAACTCAATATTAACACGAACACGTTCTGATTTTTTGCATATGCTGAGCGAAATCTTTGGTTTAAAAAAGAATCATCAAATGTTTACCCTTTGCCTCAAATATGTAATTTACTGAACTCAATCTTCTCTAGCAGGGAGTTTTGTATTGGTTTAATCCTTCTATTCATGAATTTGGTCTCCGAATAACCAATATTGATAATTTCTTCCACAAAGAATATATATTCCTCTTCCTGTTCTATTGTCTGCATGACAACTTCAATTGAGCACCCATCTCACTCAACATAGAGTAAACCATGCTTCTCTTGTGGGCTGATCTAGTTTTCTGAGACATATCTGATTGTAAATCCATCAAGTGCACAAGGCTAGACCCAGCTTCCTTTTCTGTGCCCTTTTCTTTCATCAACTTTCTTACATTCTCCACATCGTCCCATCTCCCTTCTGTGGCATATATGTTGGACAATAACACGTATGGCCCAATATCCCCTGGTTCCATATCAATTAATCGCTTTGCAACAATCTGTCCAAGTTCTAGTCTGGAGTAGGTCCTGCACGCTGAAAGTACAGACCCCCACAGAGCTGTTCCTGCTTGCACGGGAATTGTCTTGACAAGTTCTTCACAATCATGCACCAAGCCAGCCCGGCCAAAGAGATCAACCATGCAACCATAGTGCTCAATTTTGGGCTCTATATTGTAAACTCTATGCATTATATCGAAGTACCACCAGCCCTCTAACACCATCCCAGTATGATTACATGCACTTAGGATGCATGTAAAAGTGGCATCATTTGGCATCAGTCCACACTTTTCCATCTCCATGAACATTTCAAGAGCTTTTTCTCCATGCCCTTGCCTCCCATATCCCATAATCATAGAATTCCATGATACAACACTTCTCTCTGGCATCTCATCAAAGATCAACTTTGCCAAATCCATAGCCCCACATTTTGCAAACATTGTCAAGAGAGTTGTCATAAGCAACACATCTGGCTTGATTCGTTCACTACCTTTTATATAAGAATGAATCCATTGACCTCGATCAAGCCTTCCCAGATGTCCACAAGAGATCAGAACACTTACAAGTATAGCCTCATTCGGCTGAACATCTCCTTCCACCATCATCTCATCAAACAATCTCAAACACTCAGAATAGTCCTTCAACCTCACATAAAGAGCCAACATAGAAGTCCAAGAAACCATATTCCGGCAATCCATTTGATCAAACAACATCCTCGCTCCATCTTTATTTCCAGACCTGGCATAGCCATCAATCATACAATTCCAAGAAACACCATCACGAGAAGGCATCTCCTCAAACAACTCCTTTGCCGCCACCATATCCCCAACCCCTACATACCCTGTAATCATTGAATTCCAACTAAAAACATCCCTTTCGTGCATCCCATCGAAAATCTGCCTTGCAAAACCCAGTTCTCCATTCTTCACATACCCATCAATCATAGTGTTCCATGTTACCAAATCTGACTCAGAACATATATCAAATACCTTCCTTGCATCCCAAATTTTTAAACAAACAGAATACATATGAATCAGAGCATTCCTAACAAACAAATCCAACTCAAACCCACATTTCACGACACAACAATGAATCTTTATCCCTTCTTCTAACAAACCCATATCAGCACAAGCTTTAACTAATATAGGAAAAGTATAATTATTCTGAAAGATGCAATTTTTAACCATTCCATTATAGTAAAAGGCCAATGCCTTTTTTGGGTCATTGAATCTCACATATCCTCTAATTATAGTATTACATAAAAAAGCATCTGGGTTTTCAAGATTATCAAATATTTTAATGGCATAAGGAAGTGTCGATTGAGAAGAACAGAGTTTTTTAATTGCTCTGCCGGAAGCAAGTGGGTGTTGAATGAGGCCCGAGACAACGAGTTGGGTATAAATTTGATTGAAATGGTAGAGATTAGGACTGATAGAGTCTAAAATGCGCAGCATGGGGTGGCTAAGATCTAAAATCTGCACCCCATCATGGTCTAGATGGCTGGGCACTCGTTTATCGGTATCAGACCAGAGTTTTGGAGTTGGCCTGGCAAGATTTCTCTGGGTTTTGATGAACTTTTCAAGGGTTCTTGAGGAAAGGTCGATTGAATTTCTGGCGGCTCTGAGCCTAACGGTCATCTTTTTCTGTCCAAGATTTGGCGGCAAGATCAGATAGGGATTGTATAGTTTGGTGTTTTACAGTTAAATTTCGGTATAATGATGCTTACTTCATCAGTTTACACCCCGCACTCTTGTCAAAATAATTTTAAAAAAGTCGTTCCGAAAATGAAAAAAAAAAAAACTTTGGTTTGAACTCTTATAGATGCTTTTAGCTTGGCCAGATTATTATAGGTCATGAATTGAAATGATCTTTCATAAATTGAAACTTCTTTTTTGATTAATGTAGTACAGAAAATGTTGATTGAAAATTATATTTAAAGTTCTTTGGCAATACGTTTATGAGGAATAGTGGAATCCAAATTAAGCCATTGCAGTATTTTTTTTAAATTATGTAAATTTCTTATACCTACGGCTCCTTTTGGATTGGTCATTTTTTCAAAACAAGTTTTTTAAATACAATACTAAAATAATATACAATAACTCAAAATTTTCAAAAAGTTTTTATTATAAAAATTTTTCATATATATTGTTACAGTAAAATTTTTCAAAAACACTCCCCAAAATAGCTGATCCAAACGGAGCTATTTCGAGCATCACTATTCATGTTTAACCTGTGGTTCGAACTGTTAGATTTGTGCTTTTAACTTGGCCAGATTATTATAGGTCATGAATTAAAATGATCTTTCATCAATTAGATGTTTTGAGGTGTCTTTATAAAGCTTTTATTGAAACTTTTTTTTTTTATTAATGTAGTACAAAAAATGTTGATTCGAAAATATGTTTAAAATTCTACGGAAATATGGTTAAGAAGATTAGTGGAATCCAAATTAAGCCACTGCAGCTTTTTTTTTTGCCATTGTGTAAATTTCTTATACTATTAATTATCTCATTGAGGTAGAACCAAACATAGAAAAATATACTATACAAACATTTTGTTGAAACTTCATTTGATTTCTTGATAAAACATTCTCGAAGGTACTTTTATCAAGCATGATTAACCTGTTGTCAACTTAACAAGGTAAATTTTTCATATTTGAACTGGCTAATCAATTTCTGCCACTCAAATTTGTAAAGACAAAATCAAATCTTGCAAAGCAATGTGCTAAATCACTTACAAAAAAAAAAGTCACTATAATTCTTTTGCTCCACACTTGGCACTTAGGCAGACTTGAATTGGACTACTTTGGAGCTTAAAAAGTGCACAAAAAACTTGGGTCCAATATTTTTTTTGTCAAGAAGAACTAAACATATATACCTTTCCAAATGGGATCCAAAATGGCAATGGAAAATGCCAAATTCACAATGCAAAGTTTCTTGTGGCACTAATTATTCTTTTCGTCGAGTAAAATTAAAATGGTACAAAAGTTGATTAGTAGTATTTAAAATTGTATCAACCTTCCAAAAAGACAGCATCGTAGTTTTAACGCATAGAATAACTTATTCCATGTCAGTAGCTTACTAAATACTGCTGCTCCGTTACTCTTACTATTACGTTTCTCGGTTCTTCTTTGTCTCTTGCTAACTTCCTAGCTTCCAGCAACTACAACAACTGTACCAGGTACCTTTCTCTTCTCCCCATTTACATCTATTGTTTTTTCTGATCTTAATCACTAGAATTTTCTATGCTGCTTAGACTGTTTGACTGCATGAAATCAGTGCTTTAGTTTGGAATGGTACGTTCTTGTTTCTTGTTCGCAAGGCATATGAAAGTGACATCTAGTTTTAGCTGATCATCCTCCTAGTGCTATATGATTGTTTTTAGCTTTGATTAAAGGGTGGTTTGGATTTTGTTTGTTAATTTTCAGTACCGGCAATTGCATATTTGCTGAAATAAATATGTTTCAGAAGGATATTATCGCCTGATTATAAGGTAATATACTTGGGTTAAATTTTGTTTTTGACTTTGTAGGAGCTTACCTCAATGGGAAATTGTTGTGCTCTCCTAAAATCTATTATGGGTTTTGCAACCGAGGTAGATATATACTGCTTTTTGTTTGCCCATGATTTTGAAATGAGCAAGCCTAGTGCATGGTGATTTAAAAAGTTGATCTGTTCTAGACATGATTTTCTAGGTTAAATTTATAGGCAGTTTAAGGAGCCAGCTAAAGAATTATGTTCTTAATTCTGGACAATTACATGTTTGATTTGCTCCATCTGAATACTATCTCCACACAACATCTAGGTAATGGGTGATTGGATTGAAAGGTAAGTACTACTGGACTTGTGCAGAGCTTTACCTTGATGAATTGCCTCAGTAGATATGTTTTTGCTTGCTAATGTTTAGTTTATAAAGCTAGAATCAGCACAGATCATATTCAGTCTGATCAATGAAAGGATTTCATAATACAGGAGGAGCATGATGGAAGGTTGCCAAAACAGAAGAAGGTCAAAGTTGTTTTTGTCTTGGGTGAGCATTTGGGATTGATTCTCTGCTCCTGTTCCTAACCTATATGAGCATTTAAACGGTCATATTCCACTTAGTTATATTTAAATCCACAGGAAGTGTCTTCTGATCCAATTCTGCAGTCAAAATAGACTACTTCTGTTCTGATTAATTAAACTCATGAATTGTACACAGCTTTTTCAACAAATCTTGAAGGTGGATCTCTACTTATTGTCTTTCCTCCATATAACAGAGGACACAAGTCCAAGAAACTCGAGAAAGTTGAGCAAAAGACATGTTGACACAGATTCAAATCAAACAGATAAACTGCCAAATAATTTCAAAATCATCTTGGAAAATTGTCTCATCAAGTTTGCCTTTCTAGTTGTATGGACCACATGGAACCAAATTTGCTGCTTGTGACTGGAAGAAACACCTGCAAGGCTTTTATATCTTTTATTAGCAAGAGGAGTGAATGATAAAAGGAGCTAGTGCACCAAATTCATTTATTTCGGAGAATGGCTTCATAGTGCTTTTAGTTCCTTTGGCTTAGTTGAGTGAACGAGTTTTAGTTGCTCCGTCCTTTTCTGAAACCCTCTATTTGGCAGAAAAGAAAGTATTTTTAATCATTCCTTGATGTGGCTGTGTTTCATTTTCATAGCACCTGAAGTTGTTAATTAAAGACCTGTTTTTGTTTTTAGATATTTGGTTGCCAAGTTCGGTAACCATATGCATCCACCCATGTGTCAGCATCCGAGTTTCTTTTGCCTTTTCTCTTCAATTTTCCTTTGCAATAACCCTAACAACCTCACATGAATATGGTTTTCCTTTTGATCAATAATTTTAGTGTTTCTGACCTTGTAATTGTCAATCTGTGACCTTTCTCAATATACTTGTGTCACTTCTTTTATTCTTTCTTACGGTGGGATGGCTTTGGATTATGCATCTAACAGGTGGTCCAGGAAGTGGAAAAGGGACTCTGTGTGCCAAAATTGTTGAACAATTTGGTTATAGCCACCTCAGTTCCGGTGATCTTCTCAGGAAAGAAATCAAAGCTGGCTCAGAGCATGGGTATATAGTCTTGGTTTTCCCTTGATTTATTGGTCTTACAATTTTATTTCTCAGAATATTGAGCACGAAGTATCAGTTGAACAATGTTTGATTCCATGGTATTGACCATACAACATTGGCATGATATTATGTAGTTGAAATGGATCTGATGTAAAATTTTTGTGAGATTATGGTTATCGTTTAAATAGTTCTTACTCTCTGACTTCATACTGTCATCATGTCCTTATTGATTCTGCAGCACCATGATCCAGAACATGATGAATGAGGGAAAACTTGTTCCATCTGATATAACGGTTAGGCTTATTCAAAAAGCTATGCAAGAAACTGACAACGACAAATTTCTTCTTGATGGCTTCCCCAGAGATGAAGAGAATGTTAGAACGTTTGAGAAACTTGTAAGTATACTTTTCAACTGAAAGCTTGAGTTTTGAACCCAATACATTCTCCTTCCAATTTAAACTTGTATTCCCCTAATCCCAGTGTACTGGGCTTCTGACAAAACCATCACTTTGTCAAAGCCACACTTAAAAAGATTGACTTCGAATTCAACTCTTCTTTTCTGTAGACAAAGATTGAACCAGATTTCATACTGTTTCTTGATTGTCCAGAAGAGGAGATGACAAAGCGCCTTCTATCCAGAAACCAGGTTAGGTTTCTGTAAGCCAAGTTGACATGCTCATGGTTTCTGTTTAGTGCTTTTACAAAATGTAGGTTTCTTCCTTATTATGGATAAAGAAAGGATAGCATTTGACTTGCACTCAAAATCTTAGGGAAGAGAAGATGATAACATTGAAACAATAAAGAAACGCTTTCGAGTTTTTCAAGAGTCCACTCTGCCTCTGGTTAATTATTATGCTTCAAAGGGGAAGGTACGGAAGGTAAGCAATCTTTCATCTTCATGAGTTTATGAACAAATGACTGTTTTGGTTCCTGCAGCAGCAACAACCAAGTTTTCAATTGGCAGGTGGATGCTGCAAGGCCTGTTGAAGATGTTTTTGAATCAGTCAAAACCATTTTCTCCTCAGCAAATGAACAGGTAAAAGCTAGATATGGAATTCATTGAAGTGAAATTGGTGATTAAATGACTATGACATTGGAAATATATAATCTTTAACCTGTTACAAGGTTGATTTGGCTTTTTTTTTTTCTTTTTCCCTTGAAAACAAAGTAAAGAGAACTCTGCATTGGATTGTACAACTATAGTTTTACTTGCCTTGAAAATTATGAGTTGACTGAACTAGTCATGCTCTTAAAAGTTTTTGATGCCACATCTTGTCTGTTGTGCCTTGCAGGGCGCCTGAAGTTCAAGGAATAAATAGCTTTTACTGGTTTGATACTACATGCATTCAGGTAGTAGTCTCTGATTTACATAGGCATTCTCTCAGATGGAACATTCATCCCTTCCTCTCCCAAAATAAGTACAAAAACAAGATGCTGTTTCTTATATTTGCAAAAAGAAAATGTTAGCATTGGTTAATTTTGCTTAATTACAGGTTTCATGTATTGTCACTCTTGGATGGCTACTTAAAAGTGGATTGACAAGTGAGGAGTAAAGGACTGAAAATGTACAAAACTTGCTGAAATTTTCACAACTGTGGATTGTGGATGCCATATTAAGTTTTTGAAAGTATATATATTGTGGATGTATGAAGAATCCATGATCTGTTGGTTATGAAATTCTAAGTTCAATATTTGTTTGGATTGGTCTTTATTTCCCCAAATATATTTGCTTACGTCATCATTACAATTTCCAATACACCTTTTTATCTTCCCAATTACCTTTTTATCCCACATACATCACATCACAAAAAGTACTACAGTAAAAATATCTCAAATAACTTACAATCCAAACAAACCCTTTTCAACTGATATGAGGATCAGAAATTTTGAAGTTAGCTTGGCAGGCCTCTTCATAAAGGCTACTGAACATTTGCAGGTATGACATGATAAGCAGCATTTCAACAGTAAACCAACAGCTTCTTATATATCATGGCATGTTTGTGACATTCCGTTTCTTACTGTCTATTGAGTTTCAATATTTCTGCTTCTTGCTCTATTTTAGCGAGTTATGAAGAGAATGACAAATTTTCACCTCTTTTTTTTTTTTTTTTTTTAACGTGTCTTCATCCTTCATTCAAAAGGTTTAGAATGTTTTGTAGTTTATTTGGATAGCACTTATTAGCCAAATTTTATTTGCTTGGATCATCAACACATTTTTCAACCACATTTGTATTTCACGTACATACATCAATACAGTGCTATATATATGTTTGTTTGGATTGCGGTTTATTTGCCAAAATATATTTGCTTACATCATCATTACAATTTCCAACACACCTTTTTATCTTCCCAATTATCTTTTTATCTCACATACATCACATCACAAAAAGTGCTACAGTAAAAATATCTCTAATAATTCACAATCCAAACAGCAACAATATTTTTTTGCAAAAAATTATCCCAAATAATCTACTTGATTTTTCATGCATCATCATCCTACATGAATAGAAGGCCACATAGTGGGCAAGTGAGAATTAAATCATTTTTTTAAACATGATGAATATTAGGACACAAGTTATGATTTGTTCTTCAAGTTTAAGGTTGAATGTTTTAATGCAATATTTTCAAAATTTTAAATTCACTATTTTTTCAAAATTAAATAGAAGTATTAAGTAAAAAACATGCATTAGATGAAATAATACATAGCTGGTTAGTGGTTACCACATAAAAAAATTTAAAAAAAAAAAAGAGAGAGAGAACAAAAAATGCTGGTCACTTGCAAAATTAAAGTGGAATAAGTAAAAAAAGAGAGACCACCTAAGGGAAAGACGTGAGAAGCAGAGACCGCTTTCCTCTTTGTCCAAGATGCGAAAGCGCTCCCTTCTATCAACTTATGCAAACGGTAAAGGGACGTAGATCTCTTTCAGAGTTTCCACGTTTTCTGTGGTTTGAGGAGACGGCTTTTTGGTTTTGAGATTTGACCATGGAGTTCTTAGACGAAGATGCCCGACCCAGATTCGTCCTCCAATCGAAGCCTACACCCGAGCCCGCCCAATCGTCCCAAGATCCCCCATCTCTCCGTAAACCCACTCTCTTCATTTCTCTCACTGTCTCTGCTCTTTTCCTCGCTCTGTCATTCCTCTACTTCACCTTAGATCCCTTCCAATCCCTCTTCATATGGTTCTCTCTTTCCCTCCTCGTCGGCCCATTTGCTCCCCTCTCCCTCACCGCCGGCGACATCCGGGTCGGCCTTGGCCCACCCCTACCGGAACCCACAAAGGAAACTGAAATATCTGATGAGGTTAGCAAAAGAAGCGGTAGAAGGTCAGTAAAATCTACAAGGAGACAAGACGGGTCAGGAAATGGATCCGGGTCAACCAGGCCGGATTACGGCTGGGAAGCGGTGGAACAAAATGGGTTATCGGTGAATGGAAATGGGTCAGTTGCAAAATTTGAGAAGAGCGGGGGGAAGGTTGTGAATGAGGAGGTGCAGTGGGATGCGGGGGATGACGAGTTGTTGAAGAAGTTGATGGGGAAGCATCCGGTAGGGAAGCCGGGACGTTGGGAGGCTGTAGCTGAGGGTTTTAAGGGCAGGCATAGCGTAGACAGTGTGATAAAGAGATCAAAGGAAATGGGGGAAAAAAAAGTGAGTGACGAGGATAGTTATAAGAAGTTTTTGAAGGATAGGAAGCCGGTGGATAGGCGAATCGAGGGGGGAAATGAGAGTCATGTTGGAGGATTGCAGAGCGTTGAAGCGAAGGGAGACAGTAGTGGATGGAGTGCTGGGGAGGATTTAGCATTGCTTAATGCTCTAAAATCCTTTCCTAAGGATGTAGCAATGAGGTGGGAGAAGATTGCAGCTGCTGTGCCTGGGAAAACGAAGGCGGCTTGTATGAAAAGAGTGGCAGAATTGAAGAAGGATTTCAGGAGTTCTAAGGCTGCTTCTAGTGAGGCTTAGATAAGAGAGTGGCAATCGAATTCTGGCTGCCTTGAGAAGGTAAAAATTTTGTATTACAGAGTGATACACTTTAAAAATTTTAAGGATAGAGATTGATGAATACTCTTTCAATACTGGATTTGAGTCCATTGTAGAAACCTGTTACCAATACTTTTTATGGCAGACGAGAGTGTTGATAAGTTATTATTTTTTGGATATTCATTGGAATCTTGTAATTTGTATGAATCAATGTGTTATCAATAAAGTTATATTTTACTGTTCACAAATGATCCAAGTGTCTGTTTTGCAACTGACTTTTTACTTGTTTGAGTTGTTAAGAGGTCTTTGTCAACTGTTCATGTGGTCTGTCCAATGATGTGTTCAATGTTTGATGCTGAAGTTGTGATATTCCTCTAGGAAATGATGCTGTGGCCATTTCGTGGGAGCTTTTCAAACTGGCATGCCCCATAGTAATTCTGGGGATATGACCTAGTGTCTTGCTATAAAATGTAAATGCATCATGCAATAAGTTCAAGGCATTATTGTGCAGATTGAAGGATGAAATGAACGAAACACTGGGGCAGGGGAGGGCTCTTATAATACTTCCCACTGCCAGGTGTAGGGTTCAAATTTTGGGCATGACAATTAGAGGTGGGAAGGGTGAAGGGATGGGTAAAAACAAAAAGAAAGAAGAAGAAGAAGGTGATCTATGGGATGGTTTGTACGAGTGCTGATCTTACTCAATTTTAAGTGTGCTAAAACTACTCAATTGAGTCCGTTGCAGGATGCATAAATTGTTGTGAATGTCCTTAATCTGTGTGGAAACTGTTTATATACTTTTTTTAATTTCTTTTTTTTTCTGTGGATATAATTCCTTGAAGGTACAAGCTAAGTGATAGTGTGGATGCACATAATGTGAATGAATGTAACTGGAAGCTAGAAGCACTAATAAATGAAGCAATGACACAAGATGCTGTTAGATATTAGATACTAAGATACAGGTCAACATACTCCCTTAAACAGTTACCTGCTATATCATAGAAAGTATTTAGATGAAGCTTTAAAATGCTGTTAGATAGTATTTTGAATGGGGTTTTCTTGAAGAATGATTTTGATATGAAACTACATTGAACTGTAACTGGACTCTTTCAGATATACAGAGACCTTGTAAGCTTAGTCTTAGTTGTGAGTGTCAGTTGTAGTGCAAGGAGCCAATAACTAATGCGTCAGATGGAGTTGGTGGATGTCTGTATTAAGGAATGATTTTCATATGGAAAATACGTCTTATAGAGTAAGATGATATGCATAACTTTTAGTGACTCTTGCTGAGTTAATTGCCAGTGTTGTGTTGGTGTAAGAACCATTTGTTATTGAGTCAGATAGAGTGCCAATAAGCATCTTTCACTCACCAAGTAAATTGGAGAAATTACAAGGTATCTCCGGTAAATACCTTGAGATCACTGGTTTGGATTGTTAAGGTCTTATATACCAAGAAATAGTTTTCAAGATCAGCAAGTTGGTATGAATCTTTAAGTGGCAGTTAAAAAACTTTTACTGAAATAGAGCATGCTGCTGGAGAAAACTTTAGACACAGACACATAAAGGTTTGGATCATGGAGTCACTAGTTAAAAAGCCTCCTTATCTGTTCTCTTGATTAGTTTTATGATTTTGGAGGTGTGAATTTATAGAAATGCCAAATGGATTTTCAACTTGATCTCTCTAGAACAGTTCATAAAATTACTGGTTTGGATCGTTAAGTTTTCCTTATATACCGACAAAATTTTATCAAGATCAGCGAGCTGGTACAAAACTTTAAGCGGCCCTGAAGAAACTATAACTGAAATAGGGCGTGCTCTTAGTGAAAACACACTATATACAAAACATGTATGGGTATTGGTCCATGGAGTCACTATCCAAAATCTGTTCTCTTATCAGGTAAGTTAATCAAGGTTTTGGATTTTGGAGGTGCGAATTTAAAGAAATCCCAAATGAAGGAGAATGAAAGTTAAAAACAATCCCAGATGCATTTGAGAGCTTCAGAATTTAGAATATCTAGATATGGGTGATACTATTGCCAGGGGGTGACCAATGGAAATCCTTTAATCTGGAAAAAATTCTTCATGTCTGGTTGTTTTAACTAGATTATTTAAATCCTGATAATGGGTGTTACTTATTAAAGTTCCATCAGAATTAAGAGGGCTTCTTTCCTTAAGTTACAAACCATAATTGTTTCCTTAAGTTACAAACCATAATTGTTTCAACAGTCCATGATTATTTTCTTCTTTTTGTTGGGGCAACACAGAAATTGAACTGGATTTGTTGAAGCACGGATTGGTTTTATTTTTGAATTAAGTTGCTTCAAATTCCTGTTAGTTCTCACTTACAATATTCTATCATGTGAAAATGAAAATTTATGCATGTGAAATATCATAAGCAATATTAGATTGTGGCTCGTGCGAGACAGGCACAGACAGCAATATTAAACAAAACGGATACACACAGGAAGGATTGGCACTTCATTCACTGGGAGAAACCACCGACGGGTTGGACCAAAGTAAATGTAGATGGGGCGTCAGCAGGCAATCCGGGGGTGGCTGGAGCTGGAGGGATTATGAGAAATGAGTTCGGTATATGGAAAGGAGGGTTTGAGGTGAATTTGGGAGTAGCTTCGAATATAGCTGCAGAGCTATGGGGAATCATACATGGACTATGGTTGGCCTGGGAAGCTGGACATAAGAGAGTGATTGTAGAAACAGATTCAAAAGCTGCGATTTTGCTTCTGGACAAGCCACCTCACTTGAGCCCTTACTCTAATCTGCTAAAACAAATTGATCAGTGGAGACACGAGGAATGGGAGATGAGGATATCGCATATTTGGCGGGAAGGAAACAATAGTGCGGATTGTTTAGCTAAAGATAGCCTCAATAAGGAGTCAGGGTTGTATCATTTACAGAGCCCACCGGATATAGTTCGGAGATGGATGAACTTGGATATTGTGGGAGTAACCACCCTCCGTTTAGTATCTATGTATTGAGCTACTTAGCTCTCCTTGATAACCAAAAAAAATATCATAAGCAGCAATACTTGGCACCAGGTATGAGCAATGTCACGCTGATACAGAATAACAGAGATTAATTGAGAAAGTGTATTCTTTCCTTTGGAAGCAGTCAAAGAGGATAACAGAAGAGTTGAAGTAAGAATATTCAGGATGCGAAGAATGAAGCCATCGTTATTTATCTTATTATTTCCCACAGGGTAATTGACACCAAAAGGGGTAAATGATACTAATTTGCAGTATTGAAGAAAGAATATAACATTTCAAGTTGATTCAATCTACCCTACGGAATAAATTATTGCAGGAAGAAGGTAAATCATGAATAATTCTTGGCCAACATTTACTGGAGGGGTTATTAATAACACACAGTAAGCTTGATTTTCTGCAAGAAGAAAAATTCTTGCTTTATATGAAGTAGATTCTCTCCCTTTAATTCCAAAATATATGTTTTTGGTTAGCCTGATTCATTGCAAACTTGTCTTGCGGCAAATGTGGTAAGACGAAATACAATGCTGAAAAGACAAAAGAAAAATAACCTGCTACTGAATTTGTTTCCTCGTACTTTTGTAGTAGTACAACATAGAAAGGCAGACTTGGCTCCAACATTCATCTCAATTTTGTCGATGCACATTCTACAGTAAAAAAAAAATCAGTTCAAGTAATTGCGCATCAAATTATGGTGACAACCCTCCATTTGTTTTATCTTTTTCTAGTGAAAAACAACACAAATACACGAATGAAGAAAGGCAGAAATGAACTTCATAGAGGAACAATATATTCATCTATTGGGGTGCACCAAAACAGATAAAAGTGTTAGATCGAATGAATTCCTCTGAGCATGGACAAACTTCCAAAACTCTCTAGCAGGGACCAAACAATTAAATTAACTTTGCCCCATCATCAATCTTCTTGAGTCTGACTGGACTATGAAAAAGTTTCAAAAGGTGTTCCCAGCCCATAATTAGTTTCTCCTTTATTGTGGGGCGACACAAAATATTGAACTGGATTAGTTTTATTTCTGAATTGAGTTGCTTTCAGTTTCTGGTCCAATGAAGATTTAGCATCTCAAAGATCATAAGCAACATTACTAAAAACAAAAAGGCAATATTACTCTGTCACTAGTTACCAGCAATGTCATTAATGAGAATAATAGAGACCCACTGAGAATGTGCTTCTTTTATTTGAAAGCCTTTGAAGATGATATAGCTAAGGCTTGACGTAAGAATAAAAAGGACAAGAAGAATAAAGCCATGTTTGTTTATCTCTTTTCTTACTCGTAAGGACTGATTTATTCCTAAAGTGGTGCTTCAGCTCTCACTATGATACTAATTTCCAGGAGCGAAGAAAGAATAAATCATTTCAACTTTCTTTCTACAAATTCCCAACCACGGGGAACAAGGAAGGTAGAAAAAGAGCATTACTTCCGATGGAATCAACCTGATCCCCACGAAGGTCTTCCTTCCTATATAATAAATCCTTCTCAGGCACCAAAAAATATATGATGTTAAAACCATTCTTCTACTCATAACCATATAAAAAGAAGCAAAAACCCAGCCTCCTCCTTCTTCTTCTTGAAAAAAAAACAAAAAACAATACAAATGGCAGAAACTGTTGTCTCTTTTGTGTCAGATCATCTCGCAACCTTACTCCGAGAGGAGGGAAGCCTGTTGGGAGGGCTTCGAGAAGAGGTCCAATTCATCAAGGATGAGTTGGGGCATATGAGAGCTTTCCTCAAAGTGGCTGAACCAAAAGAAGATGATGATCCCAGGTATGGGTGGCAAACCAATCCACTTAATTAAATTTACTCATGCCGGTGCCCATAAATAGATGGGTATGGGAATCTTAAATTTTTTATATGGGTATAAATGGGTTACCCAATATAACCCATTTATTAAATGAATATTACTGGGTAACCAATCAAATCCAATTAACCCATTTAGAATTCTCTTCCCCCAACTCTCTTCTCTTCCCTCACCCATTTTTTATTCAAAATTTTCATTTTGTCATGATATTAACTACTTTTATTTCATTATTATTATTATTTGTTTGTTTATCTTATTATTTTATTTTCTCTTAGTTTGTTAACTTACTCATTTTTTAGCATTACCAATTTATGATAAGTTTTAGCCTCTTTTCTTATCTTTCTAAAATGAAATTTTAAATTTATATATGAAAAAAATGTTAGGGGTTCAAAATTTTTGGATTGCATTTTTATATTAATTTTTATAGCACTTAGTTCAAATTTTTATATTCTTATTATTCAATTATTAAATAATATGTAATTTTGTGACATAGAGTATCAATGGGAAAAAATTTGGTAATTAGACTTATTGAGCATTATAAGTAAATATTTAAAACTAATGATGGGTACAAAGAGCGGTATAAATTGATAACTTAGTTTGCAAAAAAGAATTTAAATGAGTTTACAAAAAATTAAAATAAATGGGTTATAAATGGGTATAAATGGATTGACTCACTTATACCCATTACTCATTTTACCCGACCCAAACCCGCTCAAGTCACCCATTTTGACACCTCTAATCCTAGGCTCCAAGAATGGATCAAGCAAGTGCGCGAAGCTGCTTATGACATTGAAGATGTTCTCGATGAATTTGTACTTCGCTTTGCTGGCTACCGACATCATGGATTCTGTGGCTCTCTTCAGAGAATTCTCAAAGCCATTAAGAGCTTGCCAGCTCGTCATCAGGTTGCCAGTGAAATTCAAAGCATAAAGTCCAGGATCAAAAATATTTCAGAAGGACGTCAGAGATACCAAGTTGAATTTGGTATCGATGACTGTGTCACTGGATCTTCAACCATGAACGACTCATGGCGCTATAGCAGGGATGATGCACTTCTAGTGGAGGAAGCAAAATTGGTTGGCATTGACCAGCCCAAACAACATCTGATTTCTAAGCTCCTCGAGGCGGACGATCACCAACTCAAAGTTATTTCAGTGGTCGGCATGGCTGGACTAGGGAAAACTACCCTAGTCAAAAAGGTCCATGAAGATCCAGATGTTAGAAAGAATTTCCCAGTTCGTGCATGGGTAACCGTCTCTCAAACATGCGACTTTCCAAAGCTCCTGAGAGACTTGATTCGGAAGTTGCACAAGGACTTGGACAAATCAGCCCCACAATCGATCGAGTCCATGACTACCGCTGAGCTGAAAGAAATTGTCAAAGATTTTCTTCAACAAGCTGGAAGGTATGCAATTGTGTTCGATGACGTGTGGGACGTGGAATTTTGGAATGAAATCAAATTTGCACTGCCTGAGGGTAACTACGGCAATCGTGTCATGCTAACAACACGAAATGCCGATGTAGCCCCTGCCTCTTGCACAGAATCTCAGGATTTTGTCTACAAAATGGAGCCACTATCAATTAAAGATTCGTGGACCCTATTTTGTAACAAGATCTTTAAAGGAAATCGTTGCCCCGACCACCTGATGGATGTTGCAAAAGCTGTATTGGATAAATGTGACGGTTTGCCTTTGGCGATTCTTGCGATCGGTGGGCTCTTGGCTTCGAAGGACGTGAGCAGAATAGATGAATGGGAGATGATTCAACACAGTCTTGGGGGTAAGCTAGAGAGAGTTAAAAGAATACTTTCTCTGAGTTACAACGATCTGCCTTCGCATCTCAAACCCTGTCTGTTGTATTTAAGCATTTATCCGGAGGATTATCTAATAGACTGCCAGGGGCTGATTCCCTTATGGATTGCTGAAAATTTTGTAGAATGGAGAGAAGGAATGAGTATTGAAGATGTAGCCTGGGGTTATCTCGGTGAACTCATCAGAAGAAGCCTAATTCAAGTGACTCGAGTGTTTTATGAAGGATCACCCGTCACGTGTCAAATCCATGACCTATTGAGAGAAGTTATTCTCATCAAGTCAAGGGAACAAAACATGGTGACAATTACTACTGGACAACCAATGACGTGGCCATCTGAGAAGGTACGCCGTCTAGTAGTCCATAGTAGTAGTAACAGTAGCAACATCCAACATCACCAACAAAGACAATTTTATTCCTTTGAACACCTTCGATCATTCATCACAGTTAGGTCCACCAACCCATTACTATCCAAAATTTTCTTATCTGAAGTTCTAAGGAGTAGCAAGTTGCTAAAGGTTTTGGAATTGGTAGGTCAAGAGATAGAGGAAACACCAAATGAGATTTTCAACTTGTTGCATCTCACATACCTGAGCCTATTTGGTACAAAAGTGGCAAGAGTCCCAAGAACCATTGGAAAGCTTCAACATTTGGAATATCTGAATTTGGGGAACACTGGAGTTAGGGAATTACCCGTGGAAATCCTAAAGCTGCAAAAGCTTCGGCATCTCATAGTATTCCAACGAGTTGATCCCTCAGATAGTGATTATGGATTTCATGGGTTTAAAGGTCCGTCAAAGTTGGGAGGGCTTCTCGCTTTACAAAGGTTAGACACCATAGATGCAAGCAGTGGGTCTGTAATAGTTAAAGAGATAGGAAAATTGACCCAATTAAGAGAGTTATATATTACACAGTTGAGAAGAGAAGATGGAAAGGAGCTCTGCTCCTCCCTTGTCAACCTCACCAGCCTTCGGGAATTAAGCATTGAATCAATTGGAAAAGGTGATGATTCTGAGATAATAGATCTAAATGATCATCAACATTCTCTTTCTTCTTCTTCTTCTTGTTCGTTTCTTCAATCTCTTCGTATGCTAATTATGTGTGGCCGCTTAGAAACGATGCCAGTGTGGATAACTCATCTTCAAAACTTGGTAAAAATATTTATGAACTGGAGCGGGTTAAGGGCTGAGGAAGATCCACTTGAATCCCTCCAACATTTGCCCAATTTGGGTGAAATTGGTTTCTGTGGATCTTACCAGGGAGAAGGGTTGTGTTTCAAGGCTGGAGGGTTCCTAAAGATGAAACAGTTGTGGCTAAGGAGAATGGAAGGATTAAGAAGGATAACAATCGAGGAGGGTGCATGCCCTTATCTCCAAAGACTAATTCTGAAACAGCTTCCATTACTAGAGGACTTACCTTGCGGTATTCAGCACTTGAGCCATCTTCAACGGCTGTCTTTGTATGAGATGAGTTCTCGAATGATGGAAAAGGTCGAGAATCAGAAGGAAGACAGTGAAGATTACAGAAGAATGGCACACATTCCTGAAATTGTCATTGGTTTCTATGCCAATGATGGGAAATGGAGAATCCGCCGGCTATGGGGGAAGAAGAAGAAAACATTCCTTGCCTAGCACTAGCAGCATCCTGTGGCTTTCCTTTCTCATTGTTTGCTTTCCCTCCCTGTTGTTGACGATCCTGCTCTCTCTTGTTCTTCTATTTTTCTGAGAAGTTTCTGATGTTTTCTATCTTCTCCACTACGCGTAGTATGGTGCATTGCATCATCATCTTGTTCATATGCTGCTTTTTTTTAATGTATTTTTTTAACTGTTTTTCTTGAATTTTAACTTCCCCAAATAAGCGCTTGTGAGATCATGAGATTGCAATGGCTATAGCATTGTGCGAAATTTGAGAATGACAATCTTCTTTTTACTCTTCAATTTTAGATAACAAAGGGGTCTGAGACTTTTACTCTTCTTTTTACTCTTCAATCTTCTTTTTACTCTTCTTTTTACTCCTCAACTTCTAGCTGCATATGTAAGAGAAAAAAAATACTAAACAAATAAAGGGTGACTCACCAAAGAGTTGAAGGCCAAAATGCAAATCCATCCATCATACTACACGAATAACTTGCCACGAAATCATGGTGTTTATTTCTCAATCCAAAAATATGTAGCTTTCTAGATCCATTTTTCCAAACCAGATAGAGAAAAATAAAAAATGGATCAGATTTTCCTTGAAAATCTAAGGCCTTGCTTGGATTGCTGTTTTCCGTAGAAAAATTTCATCATTTTCCGTGAACACATTTCCCTATTACCTTTTTTTCTCACATACATCAAATCGCTACAGTATTTTTTCCATGAAAAATGACGGAAAATGCAATCCAAACGGGACCTAAATACTCTATATGATGATCAAATAGCTAAATATCCTTCTATTTCTGTCCTAAAGTGTGATACTAGTAACAAAAAATTAAATGGCATTCTCGTCATTTTGCCCTCAACGAAAGCTATCCTCTTTCTCTGGAATGCCTAGAACCCCTGCACCCTTTCTTTCTCTGGAAGCTCTAACTAGTTCATTTTGTAAGCAACATAACTGATTCACCACCAATGGGTATTTTTTCATGGTTCAAGGGAACCAAAAACGATACCAACTCCAAACCGGCGACCCAAAAATCCGAACCGGTGAAAACCCAATCCGCTTCTGAAGTTCCCGGCATGAACGGAGCAGTGGAGGTCCGGCGGCCTGGCCCACCACCAGCTGATATCACCGTTTTCGAATTCGGTTCCATTGCCGCTTCTGCCGATAAGGTCACCCTCGCCGGCTTCTGCCCTGTTTCTGACGAGCTCGAACCTTGCCGCTGGGAGATTCTGCCGGCTCAAGGCTCCGACGCCCCTCAATTTCGCGTAGTCTTTTGACGGAAAAATAGTTGGCGAAAAAGAAAGGGAGAATTTTCAGCTTAGCTTTTGAGGAAATGGTGAGGAGGAGTAAAATCCCAATCCTGAGTAGAGTTTCTTCAGTTCATATGGGGTTTTTTCTATATTAAAAAAACAAAAAAGCTTGTATCTTTTTTCCTCTTTCATTTTTGAAGTTTCTCTGTAATTTAGCTCTGTTTGGCACTTTGATTAGAATATGATAAAGACCTTTACTGCACTCGTTTTTCCCTTTTTTTTGGTTGGGTCCAAATTTGGGTACTATTGGCTTGAAAACATGAGGAGGAAGAGGAAAGAAGTAATTTGTTGTGATAGATTGGTTATTGCGTTGTTGGATGATAGATGCACATTGTCTTCTGTTTCCTGCAATTTGCTGTAGAATTATTATGGAAAAGGGCGCCCTTGAAGCCCTAATCAATAAAGGGTTCAGGTTTTTAGGCCAAATGTGAAGGGCATTTGGACTGACGTTTGTACAAAATGTACCAGTATGTGTACACGAAAATACATTTCACGCGTGAAGGCCTTCTATAGATTGCCGAACATTGTGCTTTCTTTATCAAATAAGGTTCCAAGCATGCCCTGTTCTTGAAATTTTCCCTGTTATTAACTGGACTTGATAGAGTGGAGAAGCTGTAGATTTGTTGGAGTCCTTTTATCTTGTTTTACAAGGTAAGAACTCGGCTTTTCTTTGCTTAAGAGTGTTTCAAGTAGTTTAGATCTGCTCTGTGTTTGTGTCTGTGATTGCACTGGCAGGGTTGCGAGGGGGGTGGAGGATGGGGAGTGTATGTGTTCGTGTATTGTGTATGTAACTATATAACTATGTATATGTCAATAAGGATGAGCTTGTATGAATTGGTGTACCATGTAGAGCATTTATCAGGTCATGATGAAATATATGTGGGCAAAGAAAGCTTTGAGCCTAAACTCTTCATGCTTTTTAAGCTGCTTTTACATTTGCTTGGTTTGTTTGTCAAATAAAATTGAAGCAATTGCATTCATTTTTTACGTTTGACTCTATGATTTGGATTCTATATTGTGAGGGAAGGGAGACTTTAGAAGCTTTTGGTTAATGGTAAGTACCAAGTAGAAGTTTTCAAGGACTGATTTGAAAAGTAGAATGGATGACAACAATACATGTTTGCCAGCTATTAAGGAAAAAAAAAAAGGCATAGAGGGTGTGTAGTTGCCTGTTTCTTTGGAAAATTCAGCTATGGAACAACGCATAGAGGGCGTGATAATTACAACATTAAGTTTTCAGATTTTATTTGGTTTGTCAATCATGTTTTGCCCCCTTCTTCTTCTTCTTCTTCTTCTTTCTTTGGCAAACTTATGATTGCAAGTGTTTATTGGATTGCTTAATGACGAATGAACCATTGTTATCACAGAAAAGAACTACAAGGGCAATATTGCTAGGTTTCACCATATGGTGGAATGTGATGAAAAGTATGTACTTTCCCCAAACACTTTTTTTAATGATAGCGGGAATGCAGCTGTTTTACTTTTTGTGGTTAAAGTGGATTAAATGGCATTTGCGCCTACAAATTCATAGTTCAAATTTGCTGCAACTGATTGTAGATACTTTAAAACATTATCGTGACAAAAAGTGTAGGCTCATGAAGATATGCAGTGTTTGCTATCTTCTTGGTGTCATTGTAGTTACATGATGGTTCATGAAGATACGTATTCTCAATATTCAGCTAAACTTGGTTGAAACAGAAAAAAGAAATAGGATAAAGAGGACGCAGTTCAATCCTTATTTGTTAAAGGATCTTTTTGCTTGTAATGTTCTTGGTGGAACCAAAACATTGAAAGTTTTCCATGCTTTGTCTTGGCTCCCAATGAACACTGATGTGTTTGTAATACAACATTCTGGTCAACTTCTGTTCCATGTTTTACAAATTGCCTGCCTTCAGGAGTATCTTTGATATTATGGCTTGTTCCTTCAGAAATTCTGCAACCTTGTACATTTGACACTGACAGCAAGTGTGGCATCTGATGCGGTATTATTACTGCAAGCAGACAATGCAATCGTATAATCGTCAGACACTAACGAAAGTTGTTGTACCATTATGAGAAGGCATCGATGTATCAAAATTAATTAATTCTGAACTACAAAGGGCCTCTTGGATAGTTTGCAGAGCAGTGCAGATACTCATCTTTTGAGACAACATGCTTAACTGTTAATCTGGTTTCCACATTAAATATGCCCAAAAGAGCAAGTTGCACGAAACTAGATTCCTATTTTATCAAAATGGCAGGAAAATTCCAAGATATCACAGTCATATGAAGAAGGCAATTATCAAGAATAGGTAATCGACATCGTGCCATATATCCCACATTCTAGTACCTGTTAGCATCGGCCACCAATTGTTTTACAAAGCGATAATAAGAAGCAATGACCATGAAATAAAGGCCACAAGGCATCTTGCAACTTCCTTATCATAGAACACGTAATAGATATAATTATATAACTAACGCTGCAATCAATACTAAACTTACCAATATCTGCAATACAATCCCCCCTGACTTTGTGATATTAATTGGTTTTTGATTGAGTTAAAAAAGAAACTTATAATTTTCCCCATGCAGTTGAAAAAGATAGCTGCAAAGATGATATAAATGAGACATTGAATTAATTGACAAAGTGGAGGGCATAGAAATAAGCCACGTCATGATTGAGTGGTACAGCTATTCCAACAAATTTGTAATCCTTAAATGTAAAGAAAATTGATTATTTTTAATTTACTCCTTACCATTTTCTGCAATTCCTTTTTTTTTTTTTTTTTTGCTAAATTTGCACGCTGTTCATTGACCTCTTAAATTAATACAGTTCACATTTCTTTGATATTACAAATACTAATTGGTCAGCAGAAATTAGTTCCATAGAGTAAGGTTTTTTATTTCTTCGTCAATGAAATCAATAATGTCCTTCCCCTCGTAAAGAACCCACAGTCTTTTTTTTTTATTATTATTTGTCATCATTTACGTCTACACCTACTCTTAGTTCTAATCTAACCTATACAAGGGGAGGTAACCCAACAGGGTCACAGGGAACCGATGGGGACTAAATCACCATCGGACCATACGAGTGCAAAGCACCCACATGAATCTTAAGCACAGCCACATTAGGTGGCCACCTATGATAGAAGGCAAAGGTTGAACTCTTAACCTCCCACCCCACACTAAAAGTGATGGTCAATTCCACTAAAGCGAGCTGTTTAAAAAACCCACAATCGAACGATGCTCCTTTTTATCTTTATCCGACCCACGGTTGAAAGAAGGTCCCGAAGACATGTGCACAGTCTTCTTAATAGCTTCCATGATTTTATATTGTGGGAGGTAAGGCAGCTTCGTCCCACCCCCTCCCCTCTCCCCGTCCCCGTTTCCATCCTGCTTTCCTGACGGGCTAATAAAAATTTATTATATAATTTTATTATAATTAAATTTTAATAAATAATTAAGTATTAAAATATCAATACATTACTAAATTATTATTCATTATAATTTTACAATTGAAACTTATAAAAATAATCAAACAAAAATTAGTGAATACAATCCAATATGATGAAATAAATACAATTAAAGTAGTTAAATTTTTACTTTTGATAGAAATACAATCACTAATTCATTATTTTACTTGTGCTTTTTTTTGAGTAAGTATAATTAGAGATTTAGTATAAATGTATTAGTAAATTTAATATAACTAATTAATAATTTCTATTAGTATATATATTAGTAATATAACTGATAATTATATTATATAATACATATAACTAATAATATCATTATCATAAGTTTATAACTAATTAAATTAAATATTTTATATATAATTATATGCACATATATATTTATTTTTTTTAAACGGATTCCGGGGCGGGGTAGCCTCCTGCGGGCCATCCTGTTGCCATCCTTAGTCTTGAGTTGCTTTTTCTGTTCCACTCCGAAGAAATTCACTTTCCTCTGCATCACATGTTCCTGGAAAACTCATAGCTGGCTTCCAGTTGATTCGGAACTGTCAATTTTCTTTTGGGGTGGGGTTTTCTTCTCATTCTCTTGTGCTCTTTCCACTTTAACTACTCAAACACGCGTTCAAGTCTATACTGTAAATTTCGTCTACACCGCGTTGGACTGGTTTGTTCCTTGATATTCCATCCGTTTTTATTACAAACTAGTTGGTCCAAAGGGTCAAAAGAAAAAAAAAAAAAGCAGAAATTAGTTCCATAGAAGGAGGAGCTTATATATGTCATAATGTCAGCAGAAGGGGCAAAACATTTTGCAGCAGTTTTATTTCTTCGTCAAAGAAATCAATAATGTCCAGTCCAACCGCGTTTTAACCTGGAATTTCTACTTGTAAAGAAGGACCACAGTTGAACGGTGCTCCTTTGTTATTATCCGACCAAAGGACCCACAGTTGAAAGAAGCTCCTGAAGACATGTGCAAACAGAAATGAGTCTTCTTAATAGCTTCCATGATTTTGTATTGTGGCAGGTAAGGCAGCTTCGTCTTTCACAATCAGATGTTTCTTGCTTTAGTTTCTTCTAATTGGTTAATTCTTTCTTTTTCTGTTTAACGCGGCTTTTCTTTTTGATAAATACTGGACCGAAGAACATCAGCTTATTAATCTATAACTTCCTCTTCCTTCTTCCTTTCAAGATATTACAACTGGACTGTCCAATCCTATAAACCAGAAGCCGCCTTCCCCTACATTCTGTTTTGTGTCAGAAATGGCAGAAACTGTTGTCTCTTTTGTGTCAGATCATCTCGCAACCTTACTCCGAGAGGAGGGAAGCCTATTGGGAGGGCTTCGACAGGAGGTCCAACTCATCAGGGATGAGTTGGGGCATATGAAAGCTTTCCTCAAAGTGGCTGAAGCAAAAGAAGAAGAAGATCCCAGGCTCCAAGAATGGATCAAGCAAGTGCGCGAAGCTGCTTATGACATTGAAGATGTTCTCGATGAATTTGTACTTCGCTTTGCTGGCTACCGACATCATGGATTCTGTGGCTCTCTGCAGAGAATTCTCAAAGCCATTAAGAGCTTGCGAGCTCGTCATCAGGTTGCCAGTGAAATTCAAAGCATAAAGTCCAGGATCAAAAATATTTCAGAAGGACGTCAGAGATACCAAGTTGAATTTGGGATCAATGACCGTGTCACTGGATCTTCAACCATGAACGACTCATGGCGCTATAGCAGAGATGACGCACTTCTAGTGGAGGAAGCAAAATTGGTTGGCATTGACCAGCCCAAACAACATCTGATTTCAAAGCTTCTCGAGGGGCACGATCACCAACTCAAAGTTGTTTCAGTGGTTGGAATGGGAGGACTCGGCAAAACTACCCTAGTCAAAAAGGTCCATGAAGATCCAGATGTTAGAAAGAATTTCCCAGTTCGTGCCTGGGTAACCGTCTCTCAAACATGCGACTTTCCAAAGCTCCTGAGAGACTTGATTTGGCAGTTGCACAAGGAATTGAACAAATCAGTCCCACAATTCATCGAATCTATATCTACCGCTGAGCTGAAAGAATTTGTCAAAGATTTTCTTCAACAAGTTGGAAGGTATGCAATTGTCTTCGATGACGTGTGGGACGTGGAATTTTGGAATGAAATCAAATTTGCACTGCCTGAGGGTAACTACGGCAATCGTGTAATGCTGACAACACGAAAAGCCGATGTAGCCTTTGCCTCTTGCACAGAATCTCAGGATTTTGTCTACAAAATGGAGCCACTATCAATTGAAGATTCGTGGACCCTATTTTGTAACAAGATCTTTAAAGGAAATCGTTGCCCCACCCACCTGATGGATGTTGCAAAAGCTGTATTGGATAAATGTGACGGTTTGCCTTTGGCGATTGTTACGATTGGTGGGCTCTTGGCTTCGAAGGACGCGAGCAGAATAGATGAATGGGAGAAGATTCAACAGAGTCTTGGGGGTGAATTCACCGGTAAGCTAGAGAGAGTTAAAAGGATACTTTCTCTGAGTTACAATGATCTGCCTTCGCACCTCAAACCCTGTCTGTTGTATTTAACCATTTATCCGGAGGATTATCCAATAAACTGCCATATGCTGATTCAATTATGGATTGCTGAAAGATTTGTAGAATGGAGAGAAGGAATGAGTATTGAAGATGTAGCCTGGGGTTATCTCAGAGAACTCATCAGCAGAAGCCTAATTCAAGCAACTAAAGTGTTTTATGAAGGAACGCCCCACACGTGTCGAATCCATGACCTATTGAGAGAAGTTATTCTCATCAAGTCAAGGGAACAAAACATGGTGACAGTTACTACTGGACAACCAATGACGTGGCCATCTGAGAAGGTACGCCGTCTAGCAATCCATAGTAGTAGTAACAGTAGCAACATCCAATACCACCAACAAAGACAATTTTATTCCTTTGAACACCTTCGATCATTCATCACAGTTAGTTCCACCAACCCATTACTATCCAAAACTTTCCTATCTGAAGTTCTAAGGAGTAGCAAGTTGCTAAAGGTTCTAGATTTGACTAATGAAGAGATAGAGGCAACACCAAATGAGATTTTCAACTTGTTGCATCTCACATATCTGAGTCTATATGGTACAAAAGTGGAAAGAGTCCCGAGAGCTATTGGAAAGCTTCTACATTTGGAATATCTGAATTTGGGGTACACTGGAGTTAGGGAATTACCCGTGGAAATCCTAAAGCTGCAAAAGCTTCGACATCTCTTTGTATTCCATCCAGTTGATCCCTCAAATGATGATTATGGATTTCATGGGTTTAAAGGTCCGTCAAAATTGGGAGGGCTTCTGGCTCTACAAATATTAAACACCATAGATGCAAGTAGTGGGTCTGTAATAGTTAAAGAGATAGGAAAATTGACCCAATTAAGAGAGTTAGCTATTACACAGTTGAGAAGAGAAGATGGAAAGGAGCTCTGCTCCTCCCTTGTCAACCTCACCAGTCTTCGGGAATTAAGTGTTGATTCAGTTGGAAAAGGTGATGATTATGAGATAATCGATCTAAATCATCATCAACATTCTCTTTCTTCTTCTCGTTCGTTTCTTCGATCTCTTCGTGTGCTAATTATGCGTGGCCGCTTAGAAACAATGCCACGATGGGTAGCTCATCTTCAAAACTTGGTAAGCTTAGATTTGATCTGGAGCGGGTTAAGGGCTGAGGAGGATCCGCTTGAATCCCTCCAACATTTGCCCAATTTGGATGACATTAGTTTCATTGGATCTTACCAGGGAGAAGGGCTGTGTTTCAAGGCTGGAGGGTTCCTGAAATTGAAGAGGTTGCACTTAAAGAGAATGGAAGGGTTGAGATGGATGAGAGTGGAGGAGGGTGCATTGCCTCGTCTCCAGAAACTATTTCTGCAACAACTTCCATCACTAAAGGAATTACCATTGGGTATTCAGCACTTGAGCAATCTTCAACGGCTGATTTTGTCTGAGATGAGTTCTCAATTGAGAGAGAAACTGTTGGAGGATCAGAAGGAAGAAAGTGAAGATTACACAAGAATCGCACATATTCCTGAAATTTTCATTGGTTACTGTACAGATGATAGGAAATGGAGAATCCTCCGGCTATGGGGGAAGAAGAAGAAAACATTCCTTGCCTAGCACTAGTAGCATCCCGTGGCTTTCCTTTCTCTTCTTCTTCTATTTTTCTGAGAAGTTTCTGATGTTTTCTATCTTCTCCACTGCGTGTAGTATGGTGCATTGCATCATCATCTTGTTCATATGCTGCATTTTGTTAATGTATTTTTTTAACTGTTTTTCTTTAATTTTAACTTCAGCAAATGCAGCATTCTTACCTACCCCCCCAAATATGCGCTTGTGAGATCATGAGCTCAATGATAACTAAGTACAGGAATCAATTTGCCCATAAGTCTACATAAAGATTGCAATGCATATAGCATTGTGCGAAATTTGAGAATGACAATCTTCTTTTCACTCTTCAATTTTAGATAACAAAAGGGTCTGATCCCAATTTTGATTTATTTCTAAAAGTTTCTCTAGATTTGCCAATTTTTTAGGAGCATAAAAATAGGATTTGAGAAGCTCCTCAACTTCTAGCTGCGTATATAAGAAAAAAATACTAAACAAATAAAGGGTGACTTGTGTGTAGAGGTGTCAAAATGGGTGTTTTGGACGAGTTTAGGATGGTTAAAATAGGTAATGGGTATAAGTGAGTCAACTCATTTATACCCATCTAATTAAATGCGTATAAATGGGTAAGTCAAAAAATGAATTGGGTAACCCAATTATCTATTTATAATCCATTTATTTTAAATTTTTGTAAATTCATTTAAATTTATTTTTGCAAATTAAGTTATCAATTTATCCCATCCTTTGCACCCATCATTAGTTTTAAATGTTTACTTATAATGCTCAATGAGCCTAATTACTAATTTTTTTCCCTTGCGTACTGTATGTTTCAAAATTACATACTATTTAATAATGGAACAATAAGAATATAAAAATTTGAACTAAACACTATAAAAGTTAACATAAAAATTTAATCCAAAATTTTTGATATTCTAGCATTTTTTTTTGTGTATAAATTTAAAATTTCATTTTGAAAAGGTAGGAAAAGAAGTTAAAACTTGTCACAAATTGATAATGCTAAAAATTGAACAAGTTAACAAACTAAGAGAAAAGAAAATGATAAGATGAAACTAATAAATAATAATACTAATAATAATGAAACGAAAGTAGTTAACATCGTGATAAAATAAAAATTTTGAAAAAAAAAAATGGGTGGGAAAGAGAGGAGGTTTGGGGGAAGACAATTCTAAATTGGTTAATTAGATTAGATGAGTTACCTAATAATACCCATTTATACCCCAATAATACGCTTTTATACCCATTTAGATGGGTTAAATGGGTTAAATGAATATTATTGGATAACTCATTTATACTTAGATGCAAAAACTTAAGATATTTATACTCATCTATTCATGAGCGAGTATGGATAAATTTAATAAAATGAATTTGTTTGCCACCTATAAATATAACAGATGCAGCTCACTAAAGAGTTGAAGGCCAAAATGCAAATCCATCCATCATACTACATGAATAACTTGCCATAAAATCATGGTGTTTATTCCTCAATCCAAAAATATGTAGCTTTCTAGATGCATTTTTCCAAACCAGATAGAGAAAAATAAAAAATGCATCAGATTTTCCTTGGTTTATTATACAGGGAAATAACATTGAAAATCTAAATACTCTATATGATCATCAAATAGTTAAATATCCTTCTATTTCTGTCCCAAAATATGATACTAGTAACAAAAAATTAAATGGCATTCTCGTCATTTTGCCCTCAACGAAAGCTATCCTCTTTCTTGATTTCTTCCTCAAATAAAACTGGAATGCCTAGAGCCCTTTCCCTCTCTGGAAGTTCTAACTAGTTCATTTTGTAAGCAACATAGCTGATTCACCACCGATGGGTATTTTTTCATGGTTCAAGGGAACCAAAAACGATACCGACTCCAAACCCGCGACCCAAAAATCCGAACCCGTTAAAACCCAATCCGCTTCTGAAGTTCCCGGCATGAACGGAGCAGTGGAGGTCCGGCGGCCCGGCCCACCACCAGCTGATATCACCGTTTTCGAATTCGGTTCCGTTGCCGCTTCTGCCGACAAGGTCACCCTCGCCGGCTTCTGCCCTGTTTCGGACGAGCTCGAACCTTGCCGCTGGGAGATTCTGCCGGCTCAAGGCTCCGACGCCCCTCAATTTCGCGTAGTCTTTTGACGGAAAAATAGTTGGCGAAAAAGAAAGGGAGAATTTTCAGCTTAGCTTTTGAGGAAATGGTGAGGAGGATTAAATCCCAATCCTGAGTAGAGTTTCTTCAGTTCATATGGGTTTTTATCTATATTAAAGAAACAAAAAAGCTTGTATCATTTTTTTTCTTTCATTTTTGAAGTTTCTCTGTAATTTAGCTCTGTTTGACACTTTGATTAGAATATGATAAAGACCTTTACTGCACTTGTTTTTCCCATTTTTTCGGTTGGGTCCAAATTTGGCTTGAAAACACGAGAAGGAAGAGGAAAGAAGTAAATTTGTTGTGATAGATTGGTTATTGCGTTGTTGGATGATAGATGCACATTTTCTTCTGTTTCCTGCAATTTGCTGTAGAATTATCATGGAAAAGGGCGCCCTTGAAGCCCTAATCGGTAAAGGGTTCAGGTTTTTAGGCCAAATGTGACGGGCATTTGCACTGACGTTTGTACAAAATGTACCAATATGTGTACACGAAAATACATTTCAGGCATGAAGGCCTTCTATAGATAGCCGAACATTGTGCTTTCTTTATCAAATAAGGTTCCAAGCATGCCCTGTTCTTGAAACTTTCCCTGTTATTAACTGGACTTGACAGAGTGGAGAAGCTGTAGATTTGTTAGAGTCCTTTTATCTCGTTTTACAATGTAAGAACTTGGCTTTTCTTTGCTTAAGAGTGTTTCAAGGAAGGATGGGATGGGATGAGTGCTTTTATAGACCCTCTGTCTAGTAGTTTAGATCTGCTTTGTGTGTGTGCCTGCGATTGTGTTGGCAGGGTTGCGAGGAGGATGGAGGATGGGGAGTGTATGTGTTCTTGTTTTGTGTATGTAACTATGTCTATGTCAATAAGGATGAGCTTATATGGATTGCTGTACCATGTAGAGCATATATCATGTCATGTTGAAATATATGTGGGCAGAGAAAGCTTTGAGCCTAAACTCTTCATGCTTTTTAAGTTGAAAGCTTTGAGCCTATACTCTTCATGCTTTTTAAGTTGCTTTTACATTTGCTTGGTTTGTTTGTCAAATAAAATTGAAGCAATTGCATTCATTTTTTACATTTGACTCTATGATTTGGATTCTATATTGTGAGGGAAGGGAGACTTTAGAAGCTTTTGGTTAATATTAAGCACCAAGTAGAAGTTTTCAAGGACTGATTTGAAAAGTAGAATGGATGAAAACAATACATGTTTGCCAGCTATTAAAAAAAAAAGGCATAGAGGGTGTGTAGTTGCCTGTTTCTTTGGAAAATTTATTGAACAACGCATAGAGGGCGTGACAATTACAACGTTAAGTTTTCAGATTTTATTTGGTTTGTCAATCATGTTCCCTCCCCCCCCCCCTCCTCTCTCTCTCTCTCTCTTCCTCTTCTTCTTCTTTCTTTGGCAAAGTTATGATTGCAAGTGTTTATTGGATTGCATAATGACGAATGAACCATTGTTGTCACAGAAAAGAAATACAAGGTCAATATTGCTAGGTTTCACTATATGGTTGAAAGTGATGAAAATTATGTACTCTCCGCCATAATGCGGAAAAAGTAGTCCAATTTTTTTTTAATGATAGTGGGAATGCAGCAGTTTGCTTTTTGTGGTTAAAGTGGATTAAATAGCATTTGCTCCTAGAAGTTCATAGTTCAAATTTGCCGCAACTGATTGTAGATACTTTAAAACGTTATCATGCTAGTAAGTGCAGTAGTATAAGCTATCAATTATCATCATTCCTCTAGTACATATTCCAAATGCAGTGTCTAGACTTGCACTTAAGTAGTGGTAGCTGGGGCTATCTTCTTAGTGTCATTGCAGTTACATGATGGTTCATGAAGTTATGTATTCTCAATATTCGGCTAAACTCGGTTGAAACAGAATAAAGAAATAAGGATAAAGAGGACACAGTTCAATTCTTATTTGTTAAAGATAGATGGATCCTTTTGCTTGTAATGTTCCTGGTGGAACCAAAACATTGAAAGTTTTCCATGCTTTGTCTTGGCTACCAATGAGCACTGGTGTGTTTGTAATACAACATTCTGGTCAACTTCTGTTCCATGGTTACAAATTGCCTGCCTTCAGGAGTGTCTTTGATATTATGGCTATAGTTCCTTCAGAAATTCTGCAACCTTGTACATTTGACACTGACAGCAAGTGTGGCATCTGATGCGGTATATGACCTTAATGGCGAGATTGTTTAATGTGCAACTCAGGTATTCATTCACTGAAAAAAATAACCACTCTTGTATTTACAAAGCACAAAATGAGAGGCAATGCTCAGCTATCAAGAAAAAGGCAACTTCTACGTTTTCCGCACAATGGAAAAGTTGAAATTTTTAAAGAGAGTCGCGTTCAAAGGATGCTATAACCATCATCTTCGCTCGTTCCAATGAAACACACGATTGCTAGAACAAATGTGAAAAAGGATGAGAGCTCCATTGCCATTGCCCCCCAGCCAATTACTCCAGCATGCTTTAAGATGATTGGTATTGCTATGCTACCAACAGCTGAAGCCCCAGTTAAGAATTTGGTCACGTCTGCCCAGCTGTTGCCACATTGCTCATGAAAACCAAATAAGGCCAAAAAAATCCATATAAATGAACTTGAATAAAAGCATCTCATCAGAGAAACAGTGCGGAAGGGAAAAAAAAAAAAAAAAACCTTACCCACTTTGAGATTCGGAGAAGAGAGATGAAGTATCCGAGCCAGCCAAAAAAATTAAGGGCATAGGTAGAACCACATACATTATTACTGCAAGCAGACAATGCAATCGTATAATCGTCAGACACTAAGGAAAGTTGTTGTACCATTTTGAGAAGGCATTGATGTATCAAAATTAACTGATTCTGAACTACAAAGGGCTTCTTGGATTAGTTTGCAGATCAGTGCAGATACTCATCTTTTGAGACAACATTCTTAACTGTTAATCTGGTTTCCACATTAAATATGCCCAAAAGAGCAAGTTGCACGAAACTAGATTCCTATTTTATCAAAATGGCAGGAGAATTCCAAGATATCACAGTCATATGCAGAAGCCAATTATCAAGAATAGGTAATCGACATCGTGCCAAAGATCCCACATTCTTGTACCTGTTAGCATTGGCCACCAATTGTTGTACAAAGCACATTCCTGCAACAAAAGTCAAAGCGATAATAAGAAGCAATGACCGTGAAATAAAAGCCACAAGGCATCTTGCAGCTTCCTTATCATAGAACACGTAATAGATATAATTATATAACTAACGCTGCGATCAACACTAAACTTACCAATATCTGCAACACAATCCCCCCCTGACTTTATGATATTAATTGGTATTTGATTGAGTTAAAAAAAAACTTAAATTTTCCCTAAGCAGTTAAAAAAGACAGCTGCAAAGATGATATAAATGAGACATTAAATTAATTGACAAAGTGCAGGGCATAGAAATAAGCCACGTCATGATTGAGTGGTACAGCTATTCTAACAAATTTGTAATCCTTAATTTTAAAGAAAATTGATTATTTTTAATTTACTCCTTACCATTTTCTGCAATACCTTTTTTTTTTGTTGCTAAATTTGCATGCTGTTCATACCTCTTAAATCAATACAGTTCACATTTCTTTGACATTACAAATACTAATTGGTCAGCAGAAATTAGTTCCATAGAGTAAGGTTTTTATTTCTTCGTTAATGAAATCAATGATGTCCTTCCCCTCGTAAAGAACCCACAGTCTTTTTTTTTTGTCACTTGTCATCATCTATATTTACATCTACTTCTAGTCCTAATCTAACCTATATTAGGGGAGGTAATCCAACAAGGTTACGGGAAATCGATGAGAACTAAACTACCATCGGACCATATGAGTACAAAGCACCCATATAAATCTTAAGCATAACCACATTAGGTGACCACTTTTGATGGGAGGCGAAGGTTTGAACATTTAAACTCCCACCCGCACTAAAAGTGATGATCAACTCCCTAGTTAGTTTAAAGAACCCACAATCGAACGATGCTCCTTTTTATCTTTATCCGACCAAGGGGCCCACGGTTGAAATAAGGTTCCGAAGACAATTGTGGGCGACCAGTGTCTTCTTAATAGCTTCCATGATTTTATATTGTGGCCGGTAAGGCAGCTCCGTCCCACCGCCACCCCCTCCCCATCCCCGTCCTGCTTTTCTGACGGGCTAATAAAAATTTATTATATAATTTTATTATAATTAAATTTTAATAAATAATTAAGTATTAAAATATAAATATATCATCAAATTATTATTCATTATAATTTTACAATTAAAACTTATAAAAATAATCAAACAAAAATTATTGAATGCAATCTAATATGATGAAATAAATACAATTAAAATAGTTAAATATTTACTTTTGACAGAAATACAATCACTAATTCATTATTTTACTTGTACTTTTTTTTGAGAAAAAATATTATTATATTAAGTATAATTAGAGATTTAGTATAAATGTATTAGTAAATTTAATATAACAAATTAATAATTGCTATTAGTATATATATTATTAATATAACTGATAATGATATTATATAATATATATAACTAATAATATTATTATTATAAGTTTATAATTAATTAAATTAAACATTTTATATATAATTATATGTACATATATATTTATTTTTTTTAAACGGATGCCGGGGCGGGGTAGCCTCCTGCGGGCCATCCTTTTGCCATCCTTATTAGTCTTGAGTTGCTTTTTCTGTTCCACTCCGAAGAAATTCACTTTCCTCTGCATCACATGTTCCTGGAAAACTCATAGCTGGCTTCCATTTGATTCGGAACTGTCAATTTTCTTTTGGGGTGGGGTTTTCTTCTCATTCTCTTGTGCTCTTTCCACTTTAACTACTCAAACACGCGTTCATGTCTATACTGTAAATTCTCTTGTGCTCTTTCCGTTTTTATTACAAATACTAGTTGGTCCAAAGGGTCAAAAGAAAAAAAATGCAGAAATTAGTTGCATAGAAGGAGGAGTTTATATATGTCATAATGTCAGCAGAAGGGGCAAAACATTTTGCAGTAGTTTATTTCTTCGTCAAAGAAATCAATAATGTTGAACGGTGCTCCTTTGTTATTATCCGACCAAAGGACCCACAGTTGAAAGAAGCTCCTGAAGACATGTGCAAACAGAGTCTTCTTAATAGCTTCCATGATTTTGTATTGTGGCAGGTAAGGCAGCTTCGTCTTTCACAATCAGATGTTTCTTGCTTTAGTTTCTTCTAATTGGTTAATTCTTTCTTTTTCTGTTTAACGCTGTTTTTCTTTTTGATAAATACTGCACCGAAGAACATCAGCTTATGAATCTGTATAACTTCCTCTTCCTTCTTCCTTTCAAGATATTACAACTGGACTGTCCTATCCTATAAACCAGAAGCCGCCTTCCCCGACATTCTTAGGTTAAAAAGGAAGACTGAAAATGGCAGCAACTGTTGTCTCTTTTGTTTCAAATCATCTCGCAACCTTACTCCGAGAGGAGGGAAGCCTATTGGGAGGGCTTCGACAAGAGGTCCAACTAATCAAGGATGAGTTGGGGCATATGAAAGCTTTCCTCAAAGTGGCTGAAGCAAAAGAAGATGATGATCCCAGGCTCCAAGAATGGATCAACCAAGTGCGCGAAGCTGCTTATGACATTGAAGATGTTCTCGATGAATTTGTACTTCGCTTTGCTGGCTACCGACATCATGGATTCGGTGGCTCTCTGCAGAGAATTCTCAAAGCCAGTAAGAGCTTGCGAGCTCGTCATCAGGTTGCCAGTGAAATTCAAAGCATAAAGTCCAGGATCAAAAATATTTCAGAAGGACGTCAGAGATACCAAGCCGAATTTGCCATCGACGACCGTGTCGCTGGATCGTCAACCATGACCAATTCATGGCGCTATAGCAGGGATGATGCACTTCTAGTGGAGGAAGCAAAATTGGTTGGCATTGACCAGCCCAAACAACATCTGATTTCTGAGCTCCTGGAAGGGGATGATTACCAACTAAAAGTTGTTTCAGTGCTTGGAATGGGAGGACTCGGCAAAACTACCCTAGTGAAAAAAGTCCATGAAGATCCAGATGTTAGAAAGAATTTCCCAGTTCGTGCCTGGGTAACCGTCTCTCAAACATGCGACTTTCCAAAGCGCCTGAGAGACTTGATTTGGCAGTTGCACAAGGAATTGAACAAATCAGTCCCACAATTCATCGAGTCTATATCTACCACTGAGTTGAAAGAATTTGTCAAAGATTTTCTTCAACAAGTTGGAAGGTATGCAATTGTGTTCGATGACGTGTGGGACGTGGAATTTTGGAATGAAATCAAATTTGCACTGCCTGAGGGTAACTACGGCAATCGTGTAATGCTGACAACACGAAAAGCCGATGTAGCCTTTGCCTCTTGCACAGAATCTCAGGATTTTGTCTACAAAATGGAGCCACTATCAATTGAAGATTCGTGGACCCTATTTTGTAACAAGATCTTTAAAGGAAATCGTTGCCCTGATCACCTGATGGATGTTGCAAAAGCTGTATTGGATAAATGTGACGGTTTGCCTTTGGCGATTGTTGCGATCGGTGGGCTCTTGGCTTCGAAGGACGTGAGCAGAATAGATGAATGGGAGATGATTCAACAGAGTCTTGGGGGTGAATTAGAAGGCACCGGTAAGCTAGAGAGAGTTAAAAGAATACTTTCTCTGAGTTACAACGATCTGCCTTCGCATCTCAAACCCTGTCTGTTGTATTTAAGCATTTATCCGGAGGATTATCTAATAGATAGCAGAACACTGACTCAATTATGGATTGCTGAAAGATTTGTAGAATGGAGAGAAGGAATGAATATTGAAGATGTAGCCTGGGGTTATTTCAATGAACTCATCAGCAGAAGCCTAATTCAAGTAGCTGAAGTGTTTTATGAAGGATTGCCCGACAAGTGTCAAATCCATGATCTATTGAGAGAAGTTATTCTCATGAAGTCAAGGGAACAAAACATGGTGACAGTTACTACTGGACAACCAATGACGTGGCCATCTGAGAAGGTACGCCGTCTAGCACTCCATAGTAGTAGTAACAGCAGCAACATCCAATACCACCAACAAAGACAATTTTATTCCTTTGAACACCTTCGATCATTCATCGCAGTTAGTTTCACCAACCCATTACTGTCCAAAACTTTCCTATCTGAAGTTCTAAGGAGCAGTAAGTTGCTAAAGGTTTTGGATTTGAGAGGTGAAGAGATAGAGGAAACACCAAATGAGATTTTCAGCTTGTTGCATCTCACATATCTGAGCCTATATGGTACAAAAGTGGCAAGAGTCCCGAGAGCAATTGGAAAGCTTCAACATTTGGAACATCTGAATTTGGGGAACACTGGAGTTAGGGAATTACCCGTGGAAATCCTAAAGCTACTAAAGCTTCGGCATCTCAGAGTATATCAACAAGTTGATCCCTCAGATAGTGATTATGGATATCATGGGTTTAAAGGTCCGTCAAAATTGGGAGGGCTTCTCGCTCTACAAAGGTTAAACAGCATAGATGCAAGTAGTGGGTCTGTAATAGTTAAAGAGATAGGAAAATTGACCCAATTAAGAGTGTTATATATTACACAGTTGAGAAGAGAAGATGGAAAGGAGCTCTGCTCCTCCCTTGTCAACCTCACCAGCCTTCAGCAATTAAGGATTGCTTCAGTTGGAAAAGGTTATGATTTTGAGATAATCGATCTAAATCATCATCAACATTCTCTTTCTTCTTCCTCTTCTTGTTCGTTTCTTCAATCTCTTCGTTTGCTACTAGTGCGTGGCCGCTTAGAAACGATGCCAGTATGGATCACTCATCTTCAAAACTTGGTAAAAATAAATTTGAGCTGGAGTAGGTTAAGGGCAGATGAGGATCCGCTTAAATCCCTCCAACATTTGCCCAATTTGGATGCAATTAATTTCTGTGGATGTTACCAAGGAGAAGGGTTATGTTTCAAGGCTGGAGGGTTCCAAAAGCTGAAATGGTTGTGGTTAAAGAAAATGGAAGGGTTGAGATGGATGGCAGTGGAGGAGGGTGCATGCCCTCATCTCCAAAGACTAATTCTTCATCGACTTCCATCACTAGAGGACTTACCTTCGGGAATTCAGCACTTGAGCCATCTTCAAGAGCTTTATTTGTATGAGATGAGTTCTCAACTGATGGAAAAGGTAGGGAATCAAAAGGAAGACAGTGAAGATTACAGAAGAATAGCACACATTCCTGAAATTGACATTGGTTTCTATGCCGATGATGGGGAATGGATAATCCGCCGGCTGTGGGGGAAGAAGAAGAAAACAATCCTTGCCTAGCACTAGCAGCATCCCGTGGCTTTCCTTTCTCTTCTTCTTCTATTTTTCTGAGAAGTTTCTGATGTTTTCTATCTTCTCCACTGCGTGTAGTATGGTGCATTGCATCGTCATCTTGTTCATAAGCTGCATTTTGTTAATGTATTTTTTTTTAACTGTTTTTCTTTAATTTTAACTTCAGCAAATGAAGCATTCTTACCTACCTCCCCAAATAAGCACTTGTAAGTACAGGAATCAATTTGCCCATAAGTCTGCATAAAGATTGCAATGCATATAGCATTGTGCGAAATTTGAGAATGACAATCTTCTTTTCACTCTTCGATTTTGGATAACAAAAGGGTCTGATCCCAATTTTGATTTATTTCTAAAAGTTTCTCTAGATTTGCCAATTTTTTAGGAGCATAAAAATGGGATTTAAGAAGCTCCTCAAGTTAAGGGTGATTTACAAATAAAGGGTGATTTACAGCGGATGCAGCTCACCAAAGAGTTGAAGGCCAAAATGCATATAGCTTTCTAGATGCATTTTTCCAAACCAGATAGAGAAAAATAAAAAATGCATCAATTTTCCTTGGTTTATTATACAGGGAAATAACGAAAGTCTAAATACTACATGATGATCTAATAGTTAAATATCTTCTATTTCTGTCCTAAAATAGGGATAATTGCATAAATCTTCTCTGAGGTTTCCGATATTTGCAGTGACCTCTCCTGTAATTTAAAAAATTACATTGATCTTTTCTGATGTTACTAATTCTTTATAAATTTAGTCCAAACGATTAAAATATTATTTTAGGGAGTGAAATTAGAAATTTGTATCAAATTTGTCTTCCACCATTGCTAATAAAAATGGAAAGCCTGGAACCCCTCCACCCTTTCTCTCTCTGGAAGTTCATCTTGTAAGCAACATAACTGATTCACCACCAATGGGTATTTTTTCATGGTTCAAGGGAACCAAAAACGATACCAACTCCAAACCGGCGACCCAAAAATCCGAACCGGTGAAAACCCAATCCGCTTCTGAAGTTCCCGGCATGAACGGAGCACTGGAGGTCCGGCGGCCCGGCCCACCACCAGTTATATCACCGTTTTCGAATTCGGTTCCATTGCCGCTTCTGCCGATAAGGTCACCCTCGCCGGCTTCTGCCCTGTTTCCCACGAGCTCGAACCTTGCCGCTGGGAGATTCTGCCGGCTCAAGGCTCCGACGCCCCTCAATTTCGCGTAGTCTTTTGACGGAAAAATAGTTGGCGAAAAAGAAACGGAGAATTTTCAGCTTAGCTTTTGAGGAAATGGTGAGGAGGAGTAAAATCCCAATCCTGAGTAGAGTTTCTTCAGTTCATATGGGTTTTTATCTATATTAAAAAAACAAAAAAGCTTGTATATTTTTTTCTCTTTCATTTTTGAAGTTTCTCTGTAATTTAGCTCTGTTTGACACTTTGATTAGAATATGATAAAGACCTTTACTGCACTTGTTTTTCCCTTTTTTTTTGGGTTGGGTCCAAATTTGGGTACTATTGGCTTGAAAACATGAGGAGGAAGAGGAAAGAAGTAAATTTGTTGTGATAGATTGGTTATTGCGTTGTTGGATGATAGATGCACATTGTCTTCTGTTTCCTGCAATTTGCTGTTGAATTATTATGGAAAAGGGCGCCCTTGAAGCCCTAATCAATAAAGGGTTCAGGATTTTAGGCCAAATGTGAAGGGCATTTGGACTGACGTTTGTACAAAATGTACCAGTATGTGTACACGAAATTACATTTCACGCATGAAGGTCTTCTATAGATAGCCGAACATTGTGCTTTCTTTGTCAAATAAGGTTCGAGCATGCCCTGTTCTTGAAATTTTCCCTGTTATTAACAGGACTTGACAGAGTGGAGAAGCTGTAGATTTGTTGGAGTCCTTTTATCTTGTTTTACAATGTAAGAACTTGGCTTTTCTTTGCTTAAGAGTGTTGCAAGGAAGGATGAGATGGTGTGAGGGCTTTTATAGACTCTCTGTCTAGTAGTTTAGATCTGCTTTGTGTTTGTGTCTGTGATTGCGTTGGCAGGGTTGCGAGGGGGATGGAGGATGGGGAGTGTACATGTTTGTGTATTGTGTATGTAACTATGTAACTATGTCTATGTCAATAAGGATGAGCTTGTATGAATTGGTGTACCATGTAGAGCATATACCAAGTTATGTTGAAATATATGTGGGCAGAGAAAGATTTGAGCCTAAACTCTTCATGCTTTTTAAGTTGCTTTTACATTTGCTTGGTTTGTTTGTCAAATAAAATTGAAGCAATTGCATGCATTTTTTACGTTTGACTCTGTGATTTGGATTCTATATTGTGAGGGAAGGGAGACTTTAGAAGCTTTTGGTTAATGTTAAGTACCAAGTAGAAGTTTTCAAGGACTGATTTGAAAAGTAGAATGGATGACAACAATACATGTTTGCCAGATATTAAGGAAAAAAAAGGCATCGAGGGTGTGTAGTTGCCTGTTTCTTTGGAAAATTCAGCTATGGAACAAGCATAGAGGGCGTGATAATTACAACATTAAGTTTTCAGATTTTATTCGGTTTGTCAATCATGTCCTCCCCCCCCCCCCTTCTCTTTCTTTGGCAAAGTTATGCTTGCGAGTGTTTATTGGATTGCTTAATGACGAATGAACGATTGTTATCACAGAAAAGAAATACAAGGTCAATATTGCTAGGCTTCACTATATGGTCGAATGTGATGAAAAGTATGTACTTTCCGCCATAATGAGGAAAAAGTAGTCCAATTTTTTTTTTTAATGATAGTGGGAATGCAGCAGTTTTGCTTTTTGTGGTTAAAGTGGATTAAATAGCATTTGCTCCTAGAAGTTCATAGTTCAAATTTGCTGCAACTGATTGTAGATACTTTAATACGTTATCGTGACAAAAAGTGTTATTGTAAGCTATCAATTATCAATTTATCATCATTCCTCTAGTACATATTCCAAATGTAGTGTCTAGACTTGCACTTAAGCAGTGGTAGCTGGGGCTATCTTCTTGGTGTTATTGTAGTTACATGATGGTTCATGAAGATATGTATTCTCAATATTCAGCTAAACTTGGTTGAAACAGAAAAAAGAATAAGGATAAAGAGGACACAGTTCAATTCTTATTTGTTAAAGGTAGATGGATCTTTTTGCTTGTAATGTTCTTGGTGGAATCAAAACACTGAAAGTTTTCCATGCTTTGTCTTGGCTCCCAATGAACACTGGTGTGTTTGCAATACAACATTCTGGTCAACTTCTGTTCCATAGTTACAAATTGCCTGCCTTCAGGAGTATCTTTGATATTATGGCTTGTTCCTTCAGAAATTCTGCAACCTTGAACATTGACACTGACAGCAAGTGTGGTATCTGATGCGGTATATGACCTTAATGCCGAGATTGTTTAATGTGCAACTCAGGTATTCATTCACTGAAAAAATAACCACTCTTGTATTTACAAAGCACAAAATGAGAGGCAATGCTCAGCAATCAAGAAAAAGGCAACTTCTACGTTTTCCGCACAATGGAAAAGTTGAAATTTTTAAAGAGAGTCGCGTTCAAAGGATGCTATAACCATCATCTTCGCTCGTTCCAATGAAACACACGATTGCTAGAACAAATGTGAAAAAGGATGAGAGCTCCATTGCCATTGCTCCCCAGCCAATTACTCCAGCATGCTTTAAGATGATTGGTATTGCTATGCTACCAACAGCCGAAGCCCCAGTCAAGAATTTGGTCACGTCTGCCCAGCTGTTGCCACATTGTTCATGAAAACCAAATAAGGCCAAAAAATCCATATAAATAAACTTGAATAAAAGCATCTCCTCAGAGAAACAGGGCGGAAGGGAAAAAAAAACCTTACCCACTTTGAGATTCAGAGAAGAGAGATGAAGTATCCGAGCCAGCCAAAAAAATTAAGGGCATAGGTAGAACCACATACATTATTACTGCAAGCAGACAATGCATTGATGTAACGAAAGTTGTTGTACCATTTTGAGAAGGCATTGATGTAACAAAATTAACTGATTCTGAACTACAAAGGGCTTCTTGGATTAGTTTGCAGATCAGTGCAGACACTCATCTTTTGAGACAACATGCTTAACTGTTAATCTGGTTTCCACATTAAACATGCCCAAAAGAGCAAGTTGCATGAAACTAGATTCCTATTTTATCAAAATGGCAGGAGAATTCCAAGATATCAGTCATATGAAGAAGGCAATTATCAAGAATAGGTAATTGACATCGTGCCAAATATCTCACATTCTTGTACCTGTTAGCATTGGCCACCAATTGTTGTACAAAGCACATGCCTGCAACAAAAGTCAAAGCGATAATAAGAAGCAATGACCATGAAATAAAGGCCACAAGGCATCTTGCAGCTTCCTTATCATAGAACAAGTAATAGATATAATTATAACTAACGCTGTAATCAACAGTAAACTTACCAATATCTGCAATACAATCCCCCCTGACACCAAAATTGCCAACATAGCCAGCTTTCCTGTTTGCAAACAAGCCCTCACATATCCCGGCACGTCAGCCATTATAACCTTGCTCAATTCATAACCATGAACTGCTGAAAGAAAGATCGTAGAATTGCAGTTAGTCTCAAAATAAAACAAGCAATAAACATGAAAATTCAGAAAATTGAAAACAAAAAAGACCACCCATGATTGGCAGTGTTTGGGTGATCCAGGAACGAAGGACTTGGAGAACTAACAGTCGAGTAGTCACTACAAAAACAGCCAAGACATGTTGTTTTGTGGTCGTTACTAGGACTGAGGCATCAGAGATTCAATTCAGAACAAGTTTCTGGAGTCTATTCTCATGAATTCATTCTTCATTTGCTCCATTTGTGAAAGGAGGAGCAAAGTGCATTGGGGTTTGGCCTAGTGTCAACAAATTTGTTATCACAACAAAAGTCCAATTGAAATGCATAAGAATCTGGGAATAGAAAATGAAGAAAATCACCATCATACTGCAATAGTGATAATGCATACTTAGGATGGCCACATGGTTAGAGTTACTTCGTCTTCGTTTCAGATGAGAAAGTGAAACAAAGATTAATTATATTTGCTGCTTCAAGATCTTAATTACAAAATATCTTATCACAGAGATAGCCAGAAAATTAGCTTTCATACATTGCTGAGAAAAGCACACAGAATGGACAGCCAGAAAATGGACACCAAGCAATTACTACATTATTCTACCAATCAATTTTTCATGAACAACAGTCCTCTCTTCCAAACATCGAATTTCCATTTCAGTCACTAAATCTCTTAACAAACCTGCTTCCTTTGTAGGCAAGTTATGCAGATCAAAACATCTAAACTACAATTCAAGTACATTCAAATTTAAAGAGCTCTCTTTCCCCCTTAACTTCAAAAATTTTTCGATAATCATGAAATAGGAATGAATCATACCACAACTCACAACCCAAAAGGAAACTTATTTCTTTTTTTCTTTTTCAGGTAACAGAAACTACTTTCAAATTCTCAACTCCACCTAAAAACATTAAAAACCAAAGGAAAAAGAGATCTCGCATGAACCAAGAGACTGTTTGTTTCATCAAAATGCATCCTTTAGCATTTAGTCAATGCACCTCACAAAATACAGAAAAAAGAAGTATAAAAAAGAACAATCCCAGATGGTATTCAACTAAATTCAAGGAATCAAAGCCGTAAAAAGAAAAAATCAGGAATACCCAGACGAAAAAATAGTATGAAACAGAGACAAATCACAAAACAAAAAAAACACAGAAATATAGGTAAATTCAATGCTTACCAGAAGGGAAGGGTGGATTTCAGGGAGGCCAAGAAAACTAATGGGGTTTCGGATTCTTGGGATTCTCAGGTTTCTTTCATTTTATTTTTTGCCAGTATTTCTGGGTTTGATGATGCCTTTCACGCAATTGAATCAGTAGGAATGACGAAGTACGATGGAACCTTTTCGCCAGACACTTTTGTTGTCTCTTTCGGATGGGATTTTCGGACAGCTAAACATATGTTTTTAAGTTAAACAAGAACATGATTCGAGTTCAAAAAGAAAAGGAAAAAACAAAGGGGTAAAAGATGAATATAGATAGTGTTAGGAATCGATTTGTAATTTACGAAAAAAATTAAAGATCAATCATCACAAAAGTAAAAAATTCTTGTCATGAATTAAATATGAAAATCTATTTTCATTTGAAATTTGATGAAGGATTTAAAATTAATTCAAATAGCTACAGTTGTTTGTGTTATTTAAGAGGTATTTGAATTTATAGTTTATAAATTATTAAAATATATTTTAAATACTACAATAATTTGTAATTTATAAATTTAAATACCTTCTAAATGATTTAAACAACTAGAGAGATTAAAAAGGATTTCAAATCCTTTAATCCAAATGCAGTGCTAGTATACTTGGATTGTATAAGAATCATATAAGAATCAAAAGCAACCAAGGAACTTCATCGAAAATGATTGCACCCTTTTGAAATAAATTATAAAGGTTTGACTAAAGATAAACAAAAAGAAAAAAAATAAAGGAAATGATTTATGATGTACACTAATTAAGAATTTTACTAGAATTTTGAAACAAAAGGCACATGGAAATGCAGTTAGAGCATTGATGTCTAACAATAATTATAGATTCATGGAACAAAAATTAAATATTAGGAATTTTTCTAAATAACATGACGATATAATATAAACTAATAGATGTTAATTATTTTTTATGTTGTTGTATAAAGAGAATAAAAAATGGTAAGAGCAACAAAGTGGGATCCGAACAAAAAAGGAGATAAAGCACTAGTATGTAAGATTTTTATTTTGGGGTATTTTTAGCCTATATGACATCATTGGCATATGCAATAAATATTGTAAAACACATTTTTTTTTAAATGTTATTGATGTATATACTGAAAACAAGAAATCCAAATTATAATGCTACAAAGATAGCTCAAAGATGTTTTTTTAATTTTCGGTGTATTTAGCCTATATTACATCAATCGAATATGCGACAAATATTATAAAAAATATTCTTTTAAAATTTATTGATTTATACATTCAGAAAAAGAAATTAAAATCATAATGCTTCAAAGATAGTTCAACCATAAGGAGCCATGCATATCAAACGCATACAAGAGTAAAATTAAAAATTATTCAACCTACATTTTTGTTAATTAAATTGTAATATTCTCTTTTTTTATTTGGGGTTCATAATTAGGTTAAACTTTTCAAATTATTTCACTAAAAACGGGTAGGAAAAGGTATTACTTGTATCATATGGTATCCAAAAATAATATGCTAATATCTGGGGGGGGAGTAGTATAAATCTGGAACTTCCATGAGCCGCTGTCTTAACCTTCCCCCAACTCTCCATTTTCCCTCTTCAATTCTTCATTCGTAAATTCCCAATTATTTCCATGGCTTCTTCTTCCAGAAAACGCCCCAAAACCCAAAACCCCCATTCCTCTTCTTCTTCTCCTTCATCATTTTCGCAATACTCCATTCCCGAACCTTCTTCCGGCTTCTTCCCATCGTCAATTTCCGAGTTTTCAAGGCTCATAGCCGTCGTCACGATCGCAGCCTCCGTCGCCTTGTTTTGCAACTATTTAGTTACTTATTTCAATCAACAGCCTAAGCCCTTCTGCGATAGCGGTGTTGATGTCGGCGATTTTCTCTCTGGTGAGTCTGTGGTTTGCTTTCTTCTTCAATTCAGCTGATCACAATAATTTCTCTTGTTCTTAAATTTTATGTCTTCATTGAAAAAAAAATTTATTTGTTGTTCCTTGGTTTTATGCTAGTGTACTAATCAATAGATTAAGATGAAAGGTTGGAAATTTTGATGGGGGAAAAGGCAGTAGTTCTGATTTTTCTTTTTTGGTTGTTTTCTGGACTGGTTATTTAAATTGTAGATGACTGGGTGAAGTTATTAAATGGCGAAAAAGAAATAAATGCAGGCAATTTTTTTGGAGGAGTTATGGCATTTCTTGGCTTTCTGTTGGTGATATGATATTTTATGATTTTTAGCCATTAAAGAATGGGCCTATATTATATTATGTACTTTATTTTTCTTTGGTCGACTAGTATTGATGTTTTAGTTGAAGAAAGAGTACTTGTAATTGCATTCCTTTTGGAAATCATTCAAAAATCATGGATGATCGTTTCCAGTTGTTCGTTGAGAGTTCAATAAGAAATATTGGTGATGCATTCTGTCGTGGACTCTCCTGGCTTTATGAATTTCCTTTTGATTTTATTTGTACACATTCATAGAGATTCCTTGACTTATAAGAACTTATTGACCCAAGAGCCTGTTTGAAATAATTAACCCACTCCAAAAAACAATTTTAATCTTGTTGAAAGATATGTATCAAAAGCTTGAAATAGACTATTCCTCTCAATTAGGCTGGTTTATGCTTCTTATACTGAGATCAATGCTTAGGCCTTCTTAAGTTGATCTGTATTGAAGTAATGCAGTTAATTATATGACTGAGGACTATCACCTATTTCATATGTTTTGAGAATTAGAAAACTATTCTTAATTGTGTTTCACACCTTTACTGCTCTCTACATCTGACATAACCAGTCTCCATAGGTGTAGATAATTGTGAACCTTGTCCGAGCAATGGAATATGTAAAGATGGAAATCTGGAATGTGAACGTGGCTACAGAAAGCAGGGGAATTTATGCATCGAGGACAGAGATATTAATGCAGCGGCAATGAAAATTGTAGGTAAAACTGGGTCTGATTAATCTGTCATATCAAGGGCTCCAGAAGCATCATCTTTTTCATTCTTAACAATTTTAAAGCAACCGTCTTTTAATGTAACTGCAGTCGGAGTTGGTGGAAGTTCGCTTGTGTGAAGCTTATGCCCAATATTTGTGCAGCGGAATTGGCACCATTTGGGTCTGTACCTCTTGCTAAGTTCAGTGATTCATAAATGGAAAAATCTTCCTTTTTCCCATAGGAAGTTTCGTTACTCTTTTTCGATGTCTGAGTTTGCTTCTGCTAATTGATTGATGCAAAAGAGATGACTATTGCCTGTTATCAACATATCTTAGGTGCAAAAGGATGATTTGTCAACCTATATTGTTGAACATCGTGTGATGGAAGATTATGGCTTGGATCAATATGCATATGCTCATGCAAAACTGAGAGCAATGGAGACTATTCACAAGTTGATGGACAGAAGAGGTTATACTAGTGGGTGAGCTGCTGTTGACCTTTACTAACAGATTTAGCATGAAACAATACTTGCAGTATCCTGATTAACCAAATTTATTGAGAATCTGGCCGTATTTCTTTGATTCTGTTTGTAGATCTGATGAGTTCAAGTGTCCTGATTCTTTAGTGGAACATTACAAACCGATCACCTGTCGCATCCACCAATGGGTTCTCGACCATGCTTTACTTTTGGTGCCAGTTTGTGCAGTGGTATTCCATAATATAAACCAGCATTTAAAAGTTTATGTTATGGTACCAGAATGTTAAAGCTTGTTGACAATGTTGAGATTTACAGCTTGTGGGAAGCATATTGATACTGTTAAAAGCCCTCCGGAGACATTACTTGTTAACTAGAGCTGAGGAGATCTATAACAAGGTAGAAATAGCTTTTCTCTTGCTTGTAGCATGATACATGGATTATTAAGTTATTCCACTTTTAGCTTTGCATTTCTGGTAAAGTTTGTTCTCCGTAAATCGATTTTCTTAGTTTTGGAGGTAAGAACCAGAAAACCTCCAGTCCTTAATTTCGTAAGCATTGCATTTGACCTTCACTATACCATGGCATTCATTTGCCTATTGTACATACCATGACATTCATTTCATTTATCAATCATGAAGGCAATATAATCTGCACGTGTCCCCTTTTTTTTGTTAAGTGCATGTATGTGTGCCTTAATTATTACTTATGGACAGATGTGCTTTAGGTGCTTTGAAACAATAAATAGATGCTTTCATTTTAATGAATTTGTGCTATATATTAGCGTAAAAATTTACCTGAACAAGTGTAATGCTATGTCACTTCTTAGCTTCCTTGTGTGCCTCATGACTCCTGAGTGCTTTAGTGGAGAAATAGGAGAAAATGGGTGTGAAAATTCACATTAAAAAAAGGAAAGGAAAGAAGTATGTGCACCATATTGAGTTCCATACATAGTCATTTAAATACTTATATTCCTATAATGTGTTGACTTCAAGCATGGCTTCTGTACTTCTTTGCAGTGGGGGTGGTTGTTTTTGTGTTATAGTAAACAAGAACAAATTGTGAACCCCTAAAAGTACATGTCTTTTTGTTATTGTGGTCTACCTGTTTACCTTGTGGTAATTAATGTTAACAAAAAGTCTGACTCATGAATTCTGCAAGTACTAATGAATTTCGTTTGCTAAGTATGATCATTTGTCTACTTGCAATGGCTGTGATGACTCCTATGGACTCTGGTCATCATTCCTTTTGGGGTTGAGCATGCGTTGTGGTAGCCACTTCTGCCTCATCCAATATTCTAGTTCATAATCTTTTGGAAACTCATTTAAAAACTACTTTGTGTACAGAAATTATTTCTTAGTAGGGTGGTATGCTACGACCATTGAGTCATGTGATTTCATATATTATAGACTTGGTGTTTGGGCTCGCAAGGCTTGCTGAGCTCAATTATATTATACGTTCATTGAACTGTTGGTAATGATATTAGGTTTGCGACTTACTTGAAGAGAATACGTTGATCTCAAGGAGCATAGATGGTGAGGGTGAACCATGGGTAGTTGCCTCTTGGTTACGAGATTATCTTCTTTCACCCAGAGAGAGGAAGGACCCCCTCCTATGGAGAAAGGTACTTATATTTTCTGGAATTGCATTTTTAAAAAATAATTAATTGTGGTATTGCAATGCAGTTAGGTAATAGTCCTGATATAATTTGCCAATTGGAGTTTCTATAGTTAGATTATATTAATGAGACGAGACTCAAGGGATCAGTAACACTCGGAAGTTTGATCATACAAGGTTTTTCCAAATGTTTCAAACTTAAATTTCTGCTGCAGCTA